GCAATGTCCCTGAGCATCTCTGTGCTCAAGGCTTGTGCTCTACCACTTGAGCCACAGCACCACTTTCACCTTTTTCTGTTTATTTGGTGCTGAGGAATTGAACCTAGGGCTTTGTGTATGCTAGGCAAGCACTCTACCACTGAGCCACATTCCCAGCCCTGAACCTATTCTTTTTGTCTTCTTTTCTCAACATTATTAGTAATTTCATCCTATTTTGTGTAGTCGTTCATTTGTTTTTGGAAATCGATGGCATTCCATTTTCTTGCAATTGCTACTGTTGTTTTCTTAGTCCCAGGGCTTAAACGCAGGGCCCTCATGCTTGCTCAGCTTGCTTACTCATAGCTGGAGCTGTATCGCTTGATACGTGCCTCCATTCTGACTGTTAGTTATTTTGGAGATGGAGTCTTATGGATGGTTTGGCCCATGCTAGCTTTGCACTGTGATCTACCAGATCTCAGACTCCTGAGTAGCTAGGATTACAAGCTGATTGAGCCACTGGCCCCCAGCTTGTTTTTTTTGTTTGTTTGTTTTTTTGAGACATGGTATTGTTATAACTCAGGCTGGCCTTAAATTCATGATCCTCCTGCCTCAGCCTCCTGTATTTTGACATTATAGGTATGAGCCACCACACGTGGATATTCCATCATTTAATACACATGCGTATGAGCTCATCCATTTGATGATGCAGTTTAGTACTTTCCAATAGTGCTATCATGAATATTCTAAGTATCTTTGGTAAATATATCCACTGCCTGAGCTCTCATGTTAGATGTCCTCTCCACAGGAGGTATTTATCCCATAATTACCCTAATTATTATTTCTCCTTTCTTTGTCGTCTTTTTAGTGGTACAAGGAATGGGACCTAGGGCCTCATGTATGCTAGGTGTATGTGTTATCACTGATCTGTACCTAGCCCTGGATTAAGGGATTGGATAATCCATTCAGTCAAATATTTGTAATAACATCAAATCTAGTATCATTTTGCTCTCATGGGAAGAAATGGCAATGTTATATTGTTAAATTGGAAAAAGCAAATTTGTTTCTTTGTTGTTAAAAAGGAGAAAACCATTATAACTTGTTTCAATTCAAAGCCTCTCATCTGAGTGAGTTGCTGAATCCATTTTCTCTGTTCCTATGGTGTCCCAGGGCCTTGAGGCATTACACCGTCAGGTCACTCAGTGCCTGGACATAGTCTAGATTTCTCCTTCAGAATACACACTGAGAGACAGCATCGTAGTGCATTTTACCTTGGAAGCCTTTTGGTCCTGATAGAGCATCCACTACTGTGGTAGTATGACTTATGTCTTACTGAAATGAGAGCATCTACTCGTTTGCTAGCACTGCTGTAACAAAGTACCACAGACTCTGTAGCTTAAAAGCCAGAATTTGTTTTCTCCCAGTCTGAGTACAGTAAGAAGTCCAAGATCAGGTCTGCAGGGCTGCTTTCTTCTGGGCCCTCTCTGCCATCTTCTCGTGTCTTCTCGGAAGTCACCTGTCTATTCTCAACTCTTGCCAAGATCCTGGAATTAGGGGCCCACCTTAATGACCTCATTTCCACTTAGCTGTGTCTATAAAGATGCTATCTCTTAAGTACAGAGGTATCCTGGAGTACTTAACAGTTGGGGAATTTGAGGGGAAATTCAATTCAACCAAAGTGCATCTTACTGCTAGGAGCGCTCTTCTTTCAGAGAGTGGTGCTGGGCCCACTGAGACTTGAGCCTTTTGACAGTGGCATCCCACGCCCTTCCAGGTGAGCCTGCCCACAGCTGAGATCGACTGCAGCCTGGCTGAGTACATAGACATGATCTGTGGTGAGCATCTCCGCCCCGCCCTGCCTTGGGATAGCTGCATCCCTCCTGTAGTGTCTGCACCTAGCCCCTGCACCGGGGGCCCCTGCTGTGCTGAGGGTGGAATCCAAGCTTACGCGACTAGTTGCTGGTGATGTTTGACCCTCAAGTCCTAGGAACACATCCCATTTGGGAGGCGACTGGCTAGCTTGAGCAGACCCAGAACTTGTGTGGTTCTGTTTCTGGAAGTTGTTCTTCATTGCAGCCATCCTAGACATCCCTGTTTACAAGAGTCGGATTCAGTCACTGCACCTGCTGTTTTCCCTGTACTCAGAATTCAAGAATTCCCAGGTAAGATAAGAGCAGGGGCTGACTTTTACTGTGGCTCGAGTCACCACACTGTGTGGTCCTGGACCTCTGGGATGGCGTCCTGCCAATGGAGGATGTCCCTGCCTGGGCGGCCGTGCCCGCCCCATGGCTGAGCAAGCACAGGAGGCAGCCGTGCCCTGGCAGCGCTCACTGAGGGGAGCTCTCAAGGTGGCTTTGTGAATGGAAGCAGGAACGAAGGGGGTTGCTCTTCTTTAAAGGGGGTGAGGCAAAGTATATATTTCTAGTTTGGAAGCAGAACTGGGGAAAAAAACTGAATCAGAAAGTGTGTTCTTTTTTTTTTTTTGGGGGGGGGGGGTCAGTTGTGAGTCTTGATCTCTGGGCCTGGGCACTGTCCCTGAGCTCTTCAGCTCAAGGCTAATGCTGTACCACTTGAGTCACAGTGCCACTTCTGGTTTTCTGGTGGTTAATTGGAGATAAGAGTCTCATAGACTTTCTTGCCCAGGCTGGCTTTGAACCACGATCCTCAGACCTCAGCCTCCTGAATAGCTAGGATTACAGGCATCGTGAGCCACCTGCACCTGGCCATAAAGTATATTTTTTGGTGCCACTAGTGAGGCTTGAACTCAGGGCCTGGTTCTTGTGCTTTTATGCGGGGGCGAGGAGGATCAGTCATGGGGCTTGAACTCAGTGTCTGGGTGCTGTCCCTGAGCTCGTTTGCTCAGATCTACTACTTTGAACCATAGCTCCACTTCCACTTCCAGTTTTTGAGTAGTTAATTGGAGATAAGAGTCTCATGGTATGGGCTAGGAAGGTGGCTCAGTGGTAGAGCACTTGCCTTGCATGCTCGAGGCCCTGGGTTCGATTCCTCAGCACCACATAAGCAAAAAGAAAAAAGCCGGAAGTGGCGCTGTGGCTCCAGTGGTAGAGCACTAGCCTTGAGCTGAAGAGCTGAGGGACAGCGCCCAGGTCCAGAGTTCAGGCCCCACAACCGGACCCCAAAAAAAAAAAAAAAAAAAAAGAGTCTCATGGTAACTTTTCTGCCCTGGCTGGCTTCGAACCATGGTCCTCAGATTTTAGCCTTCTGAGTAGGGAGGGAGGATTATAGGCGTGAGCCACCTGGGTTTTTTGATGAAGGCTGGCACTCTACCGCTTGAGCCACAACTCTACTTCTGGTTGACTGGCTAATTGGAGATAAGAGTCTCACAGATCTTTCTGCTTTGAACTACAATTCTCAGACCTCAGCTTGAATAGCTAGGATGATAGGTGTAAGCCATCGGCGTGTGGCTCCACAGGTTTATAAAGAGGTAGTAAATGTAGCAAGTAGAACGTGGCAACTGGAATTTATCCTAGAGCTATCTGTTCCCTCTCCCCTTCTCACAGCATTTTAAAGCTCTGGCTGAAGGCAAGAAAGTATTCACCCCTCCATCCAACTCCACCTCCCAAGCTGGAGATGTAGAGACGCTAACCCTCAGCTAAGCCTTCCCGGGCTCAGCTTCAAGCAGGGGCAGAGAGATCCTTGTCAGTCTCCTGGCGCCTGCTGTTCCGCACCTGGGCCCGGCAGTACCTCTTCCTTTCTCAGAGCACAAACGTTTCTGACTGCTAACTGACTCCGCCTGTCTCCGACTGCCTTCCCCCAGGAGTTGCTCACCCATTCCTCCGTCAGAGCAAGGACCAGATTGCTGAGACCCGCAGAGCATGGGTCAGAAGGAAAGATGCTTTCTTAGGGATATAGTTATTTTGTTTCACTCCTGAAGTTTGTTAGCAACTGTTTTACAAATAAAAATGCTCTGCGGGGTTGTGATGGCATGTTGTTGGTTTTCATCTAGTTTCTGACCCGTTACTTTCCTAAGCGACTACAATAATGTTGAGGGGCTTTGTACCTCAAAAGGCCTCAGAGATAGTCATGACAAGGCGTACCTATAATCCAACACCTGGAAGGCTGAAGCAGTAGAATCATGGAGTCTAGCCTGGGTTACGTAGTGAGACCCTGTCTCCAAGTCTCCAAAAATAAGAACAGGATTCCTAGAGCTTCCAGAATAGTTAGATATGCGGAAGCTCTTTCTAGGAGCTTCCTAAAAGATGGCAGGCCTAGAGAGGACGGGAGGCTTGCCGTTTCCCCTCGCGCACTCATCCCTCCCTTCACATCTCATGCTCGCACCCCATGCATCCCTGTCCTTTGTAATGTCCTTTGCCATAAGCCAGCAGTGGCGCTCAGGGCTGTCAGCCGCTCACACTAATGAGTGAAACTCAAGGAGGGGTGATGGGAACTCCATCAATTTCTGGTGGATCAGAACGCAGATTAAACAACCTGGACCTAGCATCTGAAGTCAGAGCAAGGGAAACAGTCTGAGAGCTACCTCGCAGTATCAGAACTGAGCTGGTTCAGGGGCCATCCAGCTGGGGAACTGATGGCTTTCTGTTTAAAAGAACCACTTCTCTCCTGAAATTTACTTTGGCCAGGATGGGAGGGCTCTCTCTGCTTGCTCACAGCCACCCACCTGCCAGCGGCAGCCCTGTCTGTTGTGGCCCCAGGAGCCTGGCTATTGCAGTAATCCAAGTGGGAGATGACAGTGGCTTGGAATACGTGGACAAATTCAAGGAATATTTTGGGGTGCATCAGCTATGCTCCCTTCAGGAAGCCTGCAGCCATGCTAGTTGTGTCTCACAAAGGCTGTTCAACGTGGAAAACTGGCTACAGAGATGCCGGAGGATCCCAAAGGCACAAGGGAGCCGAGAGGCGCAGAGATGATGCTAACGTGCTACACTGTCAGCCTACTCTACACACGGAACACATACCGAGAGAGGAGGCGTTCCTTACAAACACTGACTTTAAAAAGGATAAATTTAAAAATGTATTTGAAAAAATGAAGCAGAGACATCATCTTCATGTTTGAGTTTACTGTGCTCAGCACTGTCCTGGGCAATAATGTGAGAACAATTACAAAACAAGAGAGCAACAAGGGAAAAATATACTCTGCACTCTGTTATTCAAGCACTTCCATGTTGCTTCTTAAAGCATTCTGAGGTCATTTGGGGGTATCTGGTCTCCCTTTTTCTCCATGTCCCTCTGTCCCTGCTTACAACCAACCCCTAAAGAACACGATGGTGCAGGACGGGGGCTTCCGGCTGATGTGGGGCTGGGGTCCGTGGGAGGGAGACATGCTGAGAGGGAAACCATCAATCCTGAGAACTCGCGACACAGTGAATCACAGGAAACTTGGGGAAGCCAACGGGGCTCCAGGCCCTCGCACCCCGTCCCCTAGGGGATGTGCTTAAAGTGCTAACAGGAAAAAACGATGCATAGCTTCATGCTACCCTGGATGCCACCAAACTAGTCACCTCTCTCCCTCCCCAACACCATGGGTGCAGGGCCAAGGGGGCTTCCAGAGCCCAACCAGGAGGAGGCCCAGGGCGTAGACTACAGTGCCCAAGAGGAGGTGGGGCCCAGGTGGGAAAGGGCAGAGGTGTGCAGCAAAAGGGGCTCTTTGTGCTTGCCAATGGCCCCAGGGCCTAGGCTGTTCCTGTGCAGCTCGTAGGGGACTACATTCTCCCTGAGGGAACAAAGCTACATAGTGTCGGAAGGACATGCAGGGCCCTCTTTGTCCCTCAAGCCGGCAGGCAGCCTCCGGGCCTCCTGCACAGGTGCCGAGGAGTCCGTGTGGGCACCTAGCAGCCTACACCATACAGGTGACACCGAAACTCACCTGGCCAGCGTCCACTGCCTGGGCCTAGGCACCAGGAAGCGCAAAGGACCGAGTTCTGGTTGGCAGTCCTGCCTCGTGCATCTGATCCCAGCGCAACTGCAATGTCACACACAGCTCCCGGGGGACTCCTTGCGGGAGTGCCAGCAGGCAGCAGCAGCACGGGCCTCTTCGTGCTGGCAACCCAGCGGGGCAGGGGGTGGCTGGGGGTGCCCAGGGGCAGCGCTCCCCTCTCCCCCACGCAGCTCACAGCCAGATCTCATCGCTGCTCACGCTGGACACTCGGTAGATGTAGCCCAGCATGGGCAGGCGGATGAAGCCTGCGGGGTCAAAGTTCCCCAGAAGGCTCACTTTGAAGGGCCTGTCCCCTAGCCTCAGGCTGCTTTCACTACATATGGCGGGGCAGACAGGCAAGGGGCCCCTTCCTCCCCAGTACCTCGGCTGGTGAGAAGGCCCCCAGTCTCAGCTTCCAGAAGCTCTGGCCGGCTGCTGTTCCGAGCCATTGGTTGTTCTACTGGTTTCCCTGCTGGGTGACCGTGTGTGTTGGGCGGGGGAAGGGGAATGGAGATATACCCAGGATGAGGGCTGTGCCCAAGGACGCCCAGTCCCTTCCTCCCTTCCTCCTAAGTTCCACAGCCTTTTCAGAAGCTCTTCTGAAGATAAAGCACGGGCAAAGAGCAGGGTCCTACATGTACCTCGGGGATCGGCAGTGAGGTCGTTGAGCTGAAGGTTGGACGGGAGGGACATATTCTCCCGCGGTAGGCGCACATTGTTGAGTTTCAGGTTGTTGGAGTCACTATGGGGTGGCATAGTGCTTTGATGTTCTGTGGCCTACCTCCTCAGACCTCTCAGAACCCCACGTTTCCTCACGCCTCCCTCCACCCAGCACCAGGAAGAATTACCTAGAGATCAGAGATGGGCGCCGGGAAGGACCTGAGGACAAAGACATTATGCTAATAAGGACAAAGAAATTATGCTAATGAGTCACTGAGCCCGCTCACGCTGGGCTGCCCCCCATATGCCCTCTCAGACCTGGGACCCTCAGGCAACAGGGGTCTCTCAGCCCTCGCTCTAGGATCAGAGACGGGTTCCAGTGCTTTCTCCTGCTACCCATAGCCTTACCACAGCCACCCCCTGCAGCTGCTCCGCACAGGTCAGATGACGTGTGCCCAGCTCCGCCTGCCACCCTTGCTGCCTCCCAACCCCGCCTCCATCCTCCAGCCACCCTCGGCCCCAGCGCCTGGCCCTACCTTTGATTTTCTTTTCTTTCCTGCAGACCAGGCAGGCCACCAAGGTGCTGAAGCCCACGAGGGTGCCCAGGGCAAGCCCTCCGGCCACAACGATGCCCAGCAGTGGCACCTCCACCCGGGCGGCCCAGAGTCCTGCAGGGTGCCCGCCAGTTAGGCTCCGAATGCATGGGACCCCAACCCTTCCGTGTCACAGATGACAGACAACCCGGCCCTTCCTGCCCAAGGAAGCTGGGCTAGCTTATTCACAAAGCCCGCTCAGTGGCCACCAAATTCTGTTTCTGTGCTGTGATCCCCACGTGCACCCGCGGGTTCGCTGGACCAGCTGCCCGTGCTGCTCACCTGGAGCTGGAAGCGAGGCGCTCGTGACACCCACGTCATTGGTGGCCACCACCGAGAGGTTGTGTGGCAGGCTGCGGAGCTGCAGCTGCACAGTGTGGTTGGTGAGCCAGGGGTAGTTCTGAGCATCCAGCACCAGGAAGTCAGAGGTGTTGACAGTCACTGGTCCATCTTGGTCAATCCAGGTGACATTGGCAGGTGGGTTGGCACGCACCAAAGCAAACAAGACAACCAGGAGGCCTGGGTCCTGAGCCTCCTGATACTTGGCTCCAACCTGGGCAATCTCCGGCTTAACTAGGGCAGAGCAGAGAACAATCCACTCTCAGCATAGCCCTCCTACTCGGGCATTTCTTCCCCAACTGGGTGGGAGAAGGGAGTCCTGAGCCTTTTACAAGTGAACACCAAAGAACAGGACGGCTGGGCTTGCTACCGAGACGGCTTCTCACAATGATTAAGAATATAAATCCAGGAGAGTCTGGATCCACAGCCTGGCCTTGCTTCTTATCCCATGCGTCCTTGGGCAGACTGCTTACCCTCTTTATGGCTCATTTTACCCCTCTGTAATATAAGCCAGCGGCTCATGCCTGTAATCTTAGCTACTCAGGAGACCAAAATCTGAGCAGTGAGGTTCAATGCCAGCCCAGGGCAGACAAACCCAAGAGACTCTTCATCTCCAATTAATAGAAAAAAGTAGGGGTGTAGCTCAAATGGCAGAATGCTAGTATAAGCCAAAAAGCCAAGGGAGAGCTCAAGTCCTGAGTTCAAGTCCCAATACTGCGCATGCCACCCCCCCCCCCCCCCCACACACACACAGAGGAAATTCCCTCATAGGGTCAGTGTGAGGGAAAAGACAGTTACTCTTTGTAAGGTATCATAAGTGTTTGCTAAATGTCCTGCTCAAGTTGGGCATCCTGGCAATGCCTGAAATCTGAGCCTGTGAGAGGCTGAGGCAAAGGAGGATTGGGAGCTTGAAGCCAATTGGCCTAAATGGTGAGAGCCTACCTGAAAAAACAACAAAAAGTCCCGCTGAACACCCCCTTCCTGCTGCCGAGGCTCCAGAGGTACTCACACTGCACATTGAGGATGACGGAGGCATTAGCTGACCGGCCACGGCCTGGGTCCTGCAGGGAGCAGTTGAGCTCATGCTGGGCCCGCTGAGCAGTGACAGTAAAGGTGCTGGTACCTCCGGAGAAGGCCTCCCCACCCACACTGAGAAGTCTTGAGGTGGTGGCTTCCTGGAGCCGTCCGTCCAGGTACCAGGCCAATCGAGGCGTGCCAGGACCTCCTGCCACCCGGCAGGTGAAGGCATGGCGTTCATTCTCCCGAAGTGCCCGCTCTGCCCAGGTCTGACCATCAATTTGGGGTGCCAATTCCCCCCAACCTGGAACATAGCAGGTGGTCTCTGGGAAGGGCTGGGGAAGGTGGGTTCTGCTCTGTGACCAGGATGAGGTTCAGTTACAGAAGGGCAGCATGCCAAAAGACAGGGCAGCTCAGTTCTCTCAGCTGACCCTAGGCTAGGAAGGGGCGGGAGGGGAGGCTTGGCCCTCGGGGCCCGGCGTGGGTGGGTACCCCGAGGGAAGACGCGGGCAGAAGGCGCCAAAGGGACTCTGGCTCCCACAAGCACTTAACCAAGGAACGAACAGGGGTGTACCTGAGCCCAGAAGGACTGGCAGGAGCAGCAGTGCGCGCGGGAGCGTGGCTGGGCCCGCAGGCGGCCGCATGGTGGCTGGCCAGGGCCTGGGGTCCAGGCTGCGGCGAGCAGGCCCCGGGGGCCGCCCGGGGAGAGTGGGCGGGCCTCGCAACCCTCCCGGGAGTCGGGGATGTAGACGGGCCCGCCGAGGCCACGGCGAGGACCGGAGCAGCGAAGCTGAAAGGCACTGACCCAGCCCGCACGGCCGCACGCGCGGCGCCGCTCCCAGCCCCGGCCGCGGGGACGCCAGCCGCGCCGGGCTGCGCGCGCAGTCGGTCTACACGCCCCCTGCCCCCAACAGGTCGCCCTTCCTCCGACCCCGGCCCCTCGCCTGCCCTCTCCCCTCCCTCGCCATAGGCCCCTTTTCCAATCCTGACGGCCTTGGGCCGAGGAGGAGGGTCTGGCGGAGATGGGTGCCGGGCGGGGGGTGTCACCGCAGCGTCCCGGCGGCTCACCTGGCGCCCTCGGGGAGCCACTGCTCAGGTCTGCCGGGCGCCGCAGTCCCTGACCAGGGCGGGGTCTGCGCCAGGCAGGACCAATCGATGCCCGTCCGGCTGCCGCGGCGGGGCCGTGCGCGCTGCGGTGTGCGTGGGGCGCGAGGGCGGACACACAGAGGACGCAGTCGCGCGGCGAGGCCTCGCAGCTTTATTGGCTCAGGGTCCCCTCCCGTCCCGTCCCCCGCCCCCTCGTGCTCAGCGTCCGTGGCGGGGGCCGCACAGCTGCCCCATCATGTCGGCCAGCATGCGGTTGCACAGCGCGGCGTAAGGGTTGAGCAGCACCAGCTGGCGCCGCGCGAAGGGGCTGCCCAGCCGCGCCGCCCGCTCGAAGTCCCTGCGGGCATCTTCGTCCCGGCCCTGCAGCCGCGCCAGCAGCCCGCGCTGCACGAAGGCCTGGCGGGCGGCGCGGCCGCGGCCGCCGCTCAGCTCCAGGGCGCGCTCCAGGTCCTCCAGGGCGCCTGCGCGAAGGGGTGGGGGTGAGGCGGGATCAGCGGCGCGCTCCCGACGCCCGGGCCCCGCCCACCTGTCATTCAGGACCCCCGGAGGCTCTCGGGAGATTTTTATCCCTCCCCCGCCACACACACCCCAGCTCGGAGCAGACATTTGGGACTTGAAGGGACCGCTTCTCCCATTACACCGGTCTAGGTGGAAGGGCGGAGGCTTGCCCTTGGCTTCACAGACAGTTGAGGCAGAGCTGCCCCAAAAGCCTAGGACTTGCATGGTTCACCACGACATGAGCCTTCCCGCCCGCCAGTGGGTCACGCCTATAGTTCTAGCTGCTCAGGAGACTTGAGACCTAGAGGATTGTGGTTTGAGGCCAGCCCAGGCAGGAAAACGTCCACTAGACTCCCATCTCCCAAAATAAATAGCAAAAAGCTGGGCTGGGTGTGTGGGTTAAGTGGTAAGAGCCTCAGCCTAGCAAGTACAAACTCTTAGTACCTGGGTGTTTATAGCTCATCCTGGTAATCCTGCTTACTCAGGAGGCTGAGATTTGGAAGATCTTGCTTTGAAGGCAGAAATGCCCACGTGACTGTCGTCAGTTAACCAATAAAATACTAGACTGCAGGCACAGATTAAATGGTAGAGTGCTGGCTGTGAACAAAAAGCTGGACAAGAGTGCAAGTCCCTTAGTTCAATCCCCACCACCAGAACGTGCGTGCAAACACACACTCACACGCACGCACGCACACACAGTTCCTTCAAACACAAAAAAACAAGTAATGAAGGTTGCTGGGAGACTGAATGATCACAGTATTGATTCTGGCCCATTGTCCCTGCAATTCCACAGAGAAGTTACTAAGTATAAATCCTGTGTCAGGGCCTTACTCTGAATCCCAGGGACCAATGTATCTCTCAGCTATAAAAGCACTTTCTCAACATTTCCTTTCTGAGGGCTCTCCCCTCCCCCCCTTCCTTCCATTGCGTTATTTAGAACTGCTCTCTGCTGTTTACTGAGCTCGCTACCTTTCCTCATTCTCTATCATCTTCAGTATTGTGTATCTCATTTCTTTGGAAGGAGGTTCCCAGCTTCATTTTTATGATCCTTATATAATACAAAAGAGTTGGGTTGGGATTCTGAGCTCTGAACTCAGAACCTCAGGCAGCTAGTTGGAGTCTAGCTGCTTTCTCTTGGGCTCTGCTTCACACTCATGCTAGGCTCCTAGAGAGTGCCACAGGGGCCTTGGGAGCTCAGCCCCGTCCTGGAGCAAGGCTGAGCGTCACAGTTCCAGGACTTGGTTCCCAGAACTGACACCAGCTGTGCTCACCCCACCCAGGCTGCTGATGGGGAAGCTCTCAGACTGTGCTGTTGCTCAGTTTCCCTCTGCAGAGCTGGTCTGGGGGAGCTTTCTAGATGGAGTCAACCTGTTCCACTCAGGAGTTTTGCTTTGCAAGCTGACTTCATCAGCACAGGGCAGGCCAGCCTGGAAAGGCTTTGGAGGATTCTCTATTGTCTCAGAATGGAGTCCAGACTCTCTGGTTGGTATTTTTGGTTCCAGGAACACGTGTACTACTAATCCTGTTACCTCATTCCCCATTAGGTCTCTGTGGGTTCCATATTCCCATCAGCCTGGCTCATTGCACCATGGTTTCCTGTGCCAGCCAGTTTATCTTCAGTGTAGTAGGTTTGACCCAGTTACCCTACCTCTGAAACTTCTAGGTACATGTTTTCAAGAGGCCAACCTGAGCTGGGGGCTGGGAGCTCCTGCCTGTAATCCTAGCTATATTTAGAAGGCTCAGATCTGAGGATCATGGTTTGAAGCTAGTCTGGGCAGAAAATTCCATGAGACTATCTCCAATTAACCAGCAAGAAACCAGAAGGGGTTCAAGTGGTAGAAGACTAGTCTTGAGTGAAAAAGCTGAGCAAGAATGTGAGGCTCTGAGTTCAAGCCTCAGTACAGGTGTGTACACACACACACACACACACACACACACGTGCAATCTCTGACACACTGCGTTCATTGCCACCTGGCCCTGCCCACCTCTGTGAGCTCACTTCCCAATCTTTTCATGCTGCCCACCTGCTCCAGGAGCAGCTCTTATCTGCCCCCCTCATGCCCGTCAACTCATTATGTTCTGCTCTAAACTATGACCAACCCCAAGAGCAGGATCATGTGGATTAAGAGTGCTACCACCTGGCTTAAATCCCAGCTCTGTCCCTTCTGGGCTGGAGGAGCCTGAGCACACTTAACGTTCGCTTCAGTTTCTGCATCTTTAACATGGATAACACTAGATATGACTTTTCAGGTTGTTTCTATGGCTCATATGTAAAGCATTTAATGCATGGCAAATAGGAACTACTATGTAAATGTCAGCTGTAGGCAGTGCATTTCTTATCTTTGTGTCCTCTGCCCTAGCCCACTGCTATTCCATAGGCTTTCATCAGATAGTCCTTAAACGAATGGATTACAGGATCTTCTTTCACAGTATCCCACAAGTTAGCAGGGCCCACTCCAAATCCCAGGCACTCATCCCCCACGCCCCTGCTCTGCCAGCTCATCTCAGTGCCCTCGAGAGACACTTTCTGCAGAGGTTCCCAGGTGTGTCCCCTCACCTGCCACATCTCCACGGAGCCGCCTGGCCTGCGCTCGGTTGTTGTAGGCAGAAGCTCTCTCCGGCAGCAGGCAGATGGCCTGGCCAAACTTCTCCAGGGCTGTGCTGAGGTCACCCGCCTCTGCTGCCATCACCCCCTGCAGCTCCAGGACTTTAGACTGCTCCAGTTGTGCTTGAGGGAAAACTCCATCTGCACAAGGGGGTGAGGGGAGCGCACACAGGACAGAGGGACCCAGGAATGAGGATGGAATCCTGGGAGCTGAGCCAGCCCAGTGTGGACCATGGCAGGGGTGAGTTGCAGCGTGTGGGTAAGTAACACTGAGCTCAAGGCGAGGAGCTAACATTACTACCTAAGGCCCAAAGGAATTTGGAAAAGGGCCCTGGGACTCCTCCTGGCCAACAGTAGTCCAAACTCGTTTCTAGGTCAATAACGTAGTCAAGGTCACAGTCTTTAAGTTCTAAGGTGGAAGCTTTCATCTTCCTGGCTCTAGCTTCCACTGGTTCTCATTTTACTGCACTACTCTGCCCCTTAAAGGCCGCCATGACACTCCTAGGGTGTGAAAAGCCCCCCCAGATGTATTCCTCAGCCTTTCAGCCTGTAGTTTCAGTGAGGCTTGAGTGTCACCTGTCTAGAACAAGGGCATCCTCCACTAGGGGTCGCTGCTAAGCGTGCTTCCTCTGCAGAAGGAAGTTCAGGGCTGACCTTGTTATAATAGTGTAAATAAATGGCAGCTCTGGGGGCTAGGTCAAGACTAGTCAACTGAGCCACTATCCCCTTATCCCGTTTGTCCTCCATTCTGTGGGAGATAACATTGTGTTGACAAAGGTTTAAGAGTTTAACATCACCCAACAGTGAGGCTTTGGCACCCTGCTGGCAGAATGTCTCTTGCCAACCCCCGCACTGTACACTCAACACGAGCCAGCCTCCAACTCCGATGTCAGTAACCCAGCTAGGAGGAAGCAGCAGCCCTGGTCCCTTCCTCCTTGGTGCCTGTGTGCAGAGCCACAGGCCAAGGTCAAAGGCTCACCTTCATCTTCATCCTTCTCTGCTTCGTCTCCCAGGTCCAATCCCACTACATCTCCAAAGGGGGTGTCAGGGTTGAAGATGGCTTGCAACACTGCCTGATCATTCGGAGTCCCCATGGTGCTCCCGAATGAAGTCTGGAGAGGGGATTGAGGACAAAAGAGGCAGGGTGCTGGGGTGAGGTCACAGCGCCCCACAGGTAACTGATTTTAAAGGAGGAGATTCTGTTTGGGGACCTCCCCCCAGAAGTGCCTCCCATTCCTTGGCTCTAGTGTAAGTTCAACCTCCATGATTGGGGTTAGTGACCTTGGCTTAGCAGAATATTTGCAATGATTTCTCAACTGAACACGTGCTCTTACCAAAATAAACAGATCCAGTCTCAACCTTAAGGTGGAAGGTGCTGGAATGTTTTTGTCAGTCACAGTTTAGAAGTCATAGCTTGACTTTCCCTGGATAAAGTGGGGATGAAGCTGGGTGCTGTTGGCTCAGACCTGCAATCCTAGCTACTCAGGAGGCTGAGATCTGAGGATCTAGGTTCAAAGCCAGCCCGGGCAGGAACATCACAAGACTCTTATCTCCAATGAACCACCAGAAAACCAGAAGTGGTGCTGTGGCTCAAGTGGTAGAGCAGTAGCTTTGAGCTGAAGAGTTGAGGGACAGTGCCCAAGCCCAGAGTTCAAGCCCCACAACCGACAAAAAATAAAAATAAAGGGATGAAGGGCAAAGGGAACTGGATGAAGGGAACTATTCCTCTGTCCTCTTGACCCTTTCCTCACATCCAGCATGTTGGATCCTGAACACAGGTCACTGCTGAGTGAAGGGAAGAAATCCAGGTTAAGGCAGCCAGGAAGCAGTGGGACCAAAAGGCGGCCACAGGGAGTGCACTTTGTGAGTCTATCTTTTTGTTGTGCTGGTAATGGGACTTGAACTCAGGGACTCTCACTCAGCTTTTGTTTTTTTTTTACTCACAGTGGGCACTCTACCACTTGAGCCACACCTCCACTTCCAGTTTTCTGCTGATGAGTCTCATGCACTTTCCTGCCTGAGCTGCCTTCAAACCTTGATCCTCAGATCTCAGCCTCCTGAGTAGCTAAGGATTACAGGCGTGAGTCACCAGAGCCTAGCTCGTAATTCCATCTTAAAAGGCTGTACTGTAAAGTATTTTGAAACCTCGACACAGGCCATGCCCCTCCCCATTGCCGCCCCTGACTAGGCCAGAAGGAAGCGCACAATTTGCAGCAATAAACTTGACATGTTTATTAATTAAACTATCACTTAAATAAAAAAAAGTGCATAGAAAATAAACATGTTTAAAAACTCCTTTTTTTTTTTTTTACAACTATGTACACTTTTTACTTTTACATTCAGTCTTTCGTAGAGAGCTTTCAGCATTATTATTTTTTGAACTATTAAAGTATTTTCCTTCACCCCTGTCACAGGGAGTTAACACTGATGGACTTACAAACATTTTCCTTTTTTTTCTTTTTTTTTTTTCTTTCTCTTTTTCTCTAACCAGAAGCTTGGAAGAACACAGGAAAAAAAAAAACTCAAAAGATCTGTTATACATGATAAAGTTGTCGAGAAATGTCTTATTTCTAGAAGCTTGTCGTCTGTTGATCTTGAAACAATTATTCAACTACCTGTATTTACTAAAGAGACTGTTAAAAGTTCAATAAAAGAAACACCACAAATCTATTTTCTTGGTTGAAAGACAGAACTAGAGTACCTCAGAACAAGATACCAGGAAAGCACAGAACACAAGTTTCCCCTAAATGCAGGTGGTAACCCCAACATTCATAACCAAAAGTAGAGAAACAAAGAGTACAGGTACTGACTGGCAACATTCACGAGCAGGAAAAATCCAGGTGACACCATTTCCACATTGCTCTCTGGGAGAATGGTGGATTTTGCCAACCCCCCTGTGGCTTGGGGTCCCCGATGTGAAAATCAGAGGAACGCTAGCCTGACATTTTCCTGCTCTGCTAGCAACTGTAACACAATCCTTATCTATAGTGTTAAAGAGAATTAAAAGCCATGGACTGAACTAGGCTTTGTTACATGGTGCATTACTATATTAGTTCCTATATATATCATATTTATATTTATTTGAAAACCAAAACAAACAAAAAAGTTGCAAGTTTTCAGAGTGTGAGACTTGACTGATATTCATGATTCGGCACAAAACCATCTGCTCAATAACCTTGTATTGCTTTTAAAATGAAGGAAGTGAAAACACAAAATTACACCCAGCCCTTTGCAATGACCCGCTTTTCCTTAAAAAACAAGTTGATTTCTATGAAAAAGAATCCCAAATCAAACTTAACATCTGACAAGGTTTTTGACCTTTAGTATTTTCAGATAATTGTTTGAACGTCAGTCCTTTAGAAAGATACATTCATTAAAAGATGCTGTGTGTGTGTGTGTGTGTGTGCGCGCGTGTGCGTGTGTGTTGTTATATAAGGTTTTTTTAAATCAAGGTGACTGCATGGTGCTCACTGCGTTGGCCGGGGGGTTGTCAGGGTGGTGGTAAGCTGGGACCTGGTAAAGGAGCCTGGTTCAAAACACAGTTGCAGGGGTGTCCCTGTTCACTGCTACTGACCTAAGAATGGGGGAGGGAAGCCACGGGGGGGGGGGGGGGGGGGAGGAGGGGAGAGGAACCAGGGGACCAGGTTCCGGCCAAGGGGTCAACGCCATGCAGCTGTACTGGCCACACAGCTGTCACGGAGCCACCAGAAAGTGCAGCCACAACAGGTTCTAGCAGCAAAGCGGTACATGAGCTGGCTCTGAGAACTGACCAGGCTCGAGCTGTACTCCTTGGGATCTGGGATGCCCCTCAGGGGGGACTCCTGGGAATGACCTCCCCTCCTCCCGCCAATTCCTCAGTCAGCACTTTGGTGCGGAGGGTCCCTTGGTCACTTTCAAAACAGACAATAGTTTTCAGACACAGTTTTGGAGACAGCCAGGCCATTTTTGCCTTCTTCCCCTCTTCCTAGGGAAACCTTAGTTTGTCCCCCGAGTTGCTGGCAGGTATGCTGATTTTGGCAATGGACTCAAGGCTGAGCTGCGAGAGGGAGTTTTCTCCTTTCTGTGGGTGACAGTCGGGGTGAGAAGGCAAGGCAAACCGTTCTGCAGCTGGCAGGGGAGGCAGAGTGTGCTCCTCCCCTGTCCTCGGGGCGTGGGTATGGACGAGGATGAGGGCTCACAGTACAGCTTGGCCTAGCAGGGCAGTGACTAGGTCTGTTTAGCTGAGTTTCCCCCACCCTCGGGCTGCCTCTGGGTCTCTCTCACGGTGAATTCACGACCCATCAGTGCATTAATCATTTCAGTAACAAATGCAGCTTAAGTTTTTTTTTTTTCATTAAAAAAAATAGGAATACAAGGATTTACCAAAAAAACCTCACACAGTGCAATAATAAAGTGAACGAGACGCGCGTGGGACCCCTCGGGCCACCGTATCTCGTTCATGGGAAGAGGAGGACGGGAGGCGAGGGCTGGGTAGGCTGCTGCCCAGTCCCCTGCTGGCACTTCGCCACGACGGCAAGGAAGCCTCTGCCGCCCTGGCCACAGTGCTGGGCTCCCTGCATGACAGCGGCGACAGCGACAAGGGTCCAGCAAAGCCACCAGACCAAGTCCTTAAGGTCTTGGGAGAAAAGGGAGCCCAGGATGGAAGGCACCGCAGAGCCGGGAGTCCTGGGGCAGAGTGCTGGGCTGAGTCGTATTGCTTTGCTAGACTTGCAGAGGAATGGGCGAGAAAAGGGCGCCCCTCCCCTCCCCGCCGTGGACTTCACTGCTGGGCAAGGCCGCTTGGCGCGGGTCTGCTTTACCGTGAGCGGTCGCACTGTGCTTCAGTTTCAACAGGCCGCCCCGAAAGAGGGCACAGGGGATCAGCGGGTTCTTTGCGGATCTGAGGACTTGGTGGGCAGAGGGAAAGGAAAGAAAAAGGAAATGATCTATGAGACAGATGGTGATGGAGGATGTCAAGGTGCCACGGAACTGGTTGGCTGCTAACTCTGAAGTAAGGCAAGATGAGGGAAATGCGCGAGCCGCTGCCCGGCTCGGGGCGGCGGTGCTCGGAGCCAGCGCCAGAAAGAAGAAACTGGCGAGTCAAGATCCTCCTGTAGCCTTGGGAGGAGGGGCTTCCTTGGGAAAGGACGGGAGCGGCCTAATGGAGCTGAGTGATCTTCCTTCAAGAACCGACCAGAGAACACTGGTCACGGGGCACGAACAAGCTACATGTGAAACAAGGAAAAGCACGCCCTCCAGGGGGAAGCGGGGCGGGAAAGCCAGACTTTGTGTGCACAGCTGAATATTTCCTCTAACTTCATCCTATGAAAATAAAAAATTATTAAAAACCGATTTTCTTTTAAATTAGGATAATACCGCGGTTTAAAAAATAGCCTTGTCATAAGTGCTTCTCCCTATGAAGTGCTTCTCATAGAAAAATATACAAAATATATTTACATTTATAAAACCTTAAATAGTAAACTGTAAACAGAACAGAGTAAAATCCAATGACTTAATTTAACAGGTTCAAGACACGCCCTGTCTTGGGGGAAGGAAGAGAAAAACACTGGATGCTGCGCGCGCGCGCACCCGCGCGGGGCCGGGGCGGTAGTGTCATTGAGTTCGCTTGAGCCGCGGCCGCCCGCTGGCAGCTGGCAGCGGCGGGCCCTCCACGCCCCGCGGTCTAGTCCCCAAGTTTTGGGCCTTGAAATGATTAGTGTTCTGCCTTCAACTAGACACTGACTATTTAAAAACGAAGTCTTCCTATGTCTTAAAGAGGGGAAAGAAGGTTCCCGTGTCCTAGGAAGGGAGGGGTGCAGGGGTTCTCCTGGTTATGGTACTCCGGAGGTTGCATGATTCAAATCCTATTGAAACAATCTGTATCCTCTTCTAAAAAAATCATGCTACATGTATTTCTTCAGAACTCTCAGGGGAGAGTTGCACAAAGTCTTCAAATTCTGTCTGGTTCTGGCTAGCGGCTCCTGTCCACTTCCCCCCTGGAGTGCTTGCAGCTCGGGGACCTTCATGTAGGCACGCCCTGCGCCCACCGGCGAGTGCCCCTGAGCGGGGAGTCAGCTCCCCTACCACCCAGGAAGCAGGATGGGAAAGCAGTGGGATGGAGGACAGGAAGGAAGGTGGAGTGAAGAGAAGAATGGCAGAGGAAAGCCGCTCCTATGGTCAAGAAGGTGACTGGCTGAGATAAGGCTCACAGGGATTAAGTACTCCCACTTCCGGCCCACAGGCTCAATGTTTGGTAATTAATTGGCACAACCCCAAGACAGCCTTTTGACACCAGAGGTGCCAGGAATCCTGTCTCCCAGCTGGAAGTGAACTCTCTCAAGGAGGAGGCGAGCAGGGAAAACCACCAGACCTCTGTCTGTTCAACAGATGGCCACAGGCAGGGCCTGGCTGGCAGACTAGCAGGCTGTGTCCAGCCAGCCCTGTATCTCAGTCCTGCCTGACCCTCGGCTCCGAGAGCCTGGGGAAGAGCTGAGGTGAGGAAGACAACTGCTTTTGGAGGAATGCTCAGGCCCCGCCTCCCAAGAAAACCAAGCCTCCGAGGCTCCTTCCAGGCACATCGCCCAGGACCTAGTTCCCCAGCAAGCTTAACAGCTGACAGTCAAGAGGGGTCCTCCAAGAAAGCCCGTCATGGATCTTTTCTTTGAGACCTCATTTCTAAGACTCTGACCACATGTATGACATGAATATGGACATTAGGGGGCTCGGCCACAGAGGCCCCTCCACCAGCCCACTTGGTCCTGGAGCAAGGCCTTCAGCACTGCTTTGGGTGGCCCTGGGTGCTGGTACTTGGGCCCGGGGGAAAGAGCAGCGTTAGTTCAGGAACTTGCGGCATTTCTTAGCGCCGCAGTTGCAGGGCAGCTTGTTGCTGGCGTCCTCGATGGGGAACTTGTAGTCGTAGGTGAGCTCCTCGCCCCGGTAGATCTTGCGCATGGCGAAGATGACGATGTGCTTCTGCCCATCGATGTTGATGACGCGTGAGTAGCAGTTGGGCTCACACGAGTGATTGATGAAGCGCGCGGCGTTCCCATGCATGGTGGCATCCACTACTTCGGAGTCGTCAATGCGGAACATGTAGCAGCCGATGCCCTACACATGAAGAAGAAGAACTGGCTATTTGCTTAGTAACTTTAGGTGCTGGGGATGGAACCCCTAAGTCAAGAGACGTATCATTGAGTCATACAGCCTTGCAACTGTTATTCCCGCTCCCCCCCGGCCCTCTTTGTTTTTTGCCAGTATTTGGGCTTGAACTCAGGGCCTGGGTGCTGTCTCTTGCTTGGCTTTTTCTCTCAAGGCTGGTGCTCTGCCACTTAGCCACAGCCCCCACTTCTGGCTTTTTGGTGGTTAACTAGATATAAGAATCTGACAGACTTTCCTGCCCAGCTGGCTTCTAACTGAGATCCTCAGATCTTAGCCTCCTGAGTGGATGGATTATAGGTGTGAGCCACTGGTGCCCAGCTCTCCAGGGTGTCTGCATGCTTATCTTTAGAGTAGATTCTGAACATGTATGGGGACTTTTCACAAGTCTTGGAGATGTAACTTTTTTTTTTTTAATGTCTTTGTGGGGTTGACTCCTAGCACTGAAGAAAAAATGTCTTAGAATTGATAGCACATATCATTTCTTTTCTTTTTCTTTTTGGTGGGTCGTGGGGCTTGAACTCTGGGCCTGGGTGCTGTCCTTAAGCTTTTTTGCTCAAGGCTAGCACTCTACCACTTTGAGCCACAGCTCCATTTGAGATAAGAGTCTCACAGACTTTTCTGTCCAGACTGGCTTTGAACCTTGATCCTCAGATCTGTCTCCTAAGTAGCTAGGATTACAGGCCTGAGCCACCAGAGCCAGGAAGCACGTATCATTTCTTTGGGGATTCAAGGATCAAGTGGACAGCTGTGGTCCTTTTTTAGGGCAAAAGCGAAGAACAGGGACAGGAAGAGGGGCCTCACCTTGCTGTCATAATACTTCTCCCGCTTGTCGGTCTGGATGGAACGGATGACGTTGCCGGCATACTCAATCACCATCTCACCTGCATCGATGTTTCTCTTGCAGAAAAGACCCCGTCCGTGGATGGGAGACCTGGGTCAGAGAGATGGGGGAGACCAGGCATAAGTTTTCCAGTATTGTGTGAATCCATAAATATGTATCAATGAATGGATTCTCCATGTCTATTAGCTTCCCAGATGGACACTTACAAGGAATTTGTGCACATATACTGCGCTGACAAATGGCCAAAGATGAGTGATTTCTACATTCCCTAGCCTTCTAAAAGCAGCAGTGCTCTAGGTGTCTATGGGGAAGTCCATGTTCAATACAAGAAGCTGCAGAAGCTCAGGAGCTCAGGCTCAATTAACTGTACACACAAATGCCTCACTGCCAGGAGGAGGGAGTTACTCTAGCATTTAGTCTCTTCATTTCATTCGTTTCATTATTCACTCTACAATCTTGGCCATACCTGTAGACACCAACTGCCTCCTTAGAAGTCTTTTTTAAGTGCCGGAAACGCATGGGCATCGGCAGATCCATGCTAGTTGCTCTCCTAGGAGAGAAGACAAATTATTAGCAAATTCTTTTCAGGAAATAATGTTTTGAGTCTTGAAGTGAAGGATCCTAGAGACTATGAATACACTTATTCACTATCTGGCATTTCTTAAACTAGGCCCCTTTCCAAGACAGTTCTTTCTGACCACATCTATGGTTACACACACAGCAAAGTTATCAGCAAAGGTTATTACCATGAGAAAAAATTGGCATCTTACAGCTGCTCAAATTTCTTCTAACTTACAGTCCTCTCTTTACTAGCCAGCTACATTCCAATGCAAACTAGATTTGAGTCTTCTTAAATGCATCAGGAAGCTGTGGTCCAAGCACAAGGACACAGCGCCCTGAAGCGGGGTGGAGGGAAAGGACGCTTGTAATGACTGGCTCCCTGGGCGCTCACCGAGCGGACTTCAGCTGCACCTCCTCCTCTTCCTCGTCATTGGGGTTGTACTCAGGAGGCTGTCGGTGTTTAGAAGCCAGGAAGTTAAACATATCAAATGCCGACTTCCTGGAGCCAAAAGATGAAGGTTTACATTTAAAGAATGGAGCAGCATGTCAAGACAATGGTATCAGTGGGAATCTCCACGGGTACTTGCCTCAGATGGACCTCAGCCCTGGCTGAGCCGTGGGGGTTCAAGGGGGGTTCATTGGCCTCTTCAGGTTTGTGGAAACGGAATTTGTAATTCCGACAGTGCTTGGCACCAGACAGCTGCTCAATCAGGAACACAACTGCATCATGGAGAATCCCCAGCATCCTCAAGCCGTTCACACCTGTGGGGTCAAAGGCACCCAGATGGCAGGAGTGCAGCCAGCAGGAAGCAGACAGCACAAAGTGCCCGTGCTATGGGGCGGCTGCCAGCGGCTGCTCATGGGCGAATGATAATTGCCTAGAAATCTGCACCAGACAGCAGCCAAAATAATGCTGGTATTCATCCATCAATACCACACACATTAGCTGGGCACCCGTGGCTCATGCCTGTAATCCTAGCTACTCAGAAGGCTGAGATCTGAGGATCACCGTTCAAAGCCAGCCCAGGCAGGAAAGTCTGTGAGACTCTTCTTTCCAATAAACCACCAGAAAACCAGAAGTGGCGCTGTGGCTCAAGTGTAGGGTGATTGCCTTGAGCTGAAGACCTGAGGGGACAGAGCCCAGGCCCAGTGTTCAAGCCCCATGACTGACAAAAACAAAACAAAAAACAAAAAAAACCCGCACACATTCACACAGCTGTGAGACTGCAAAACTGTAGTCTATATATGCTGTTGTGTACTTGGAGTTGCTACTGCACTATTTCACTTCATGCTTATACTGACTATTCTGAGGGAGCATTATTGTTTTTGTCTTTTGTGCTTCTGGAGATGGAACCCAGGGCCTCAAACATGCTAGCGCTCTACCACTGAGCTACCTATCCCTAGTCCGTTCACTTTTTTTTTTTTTTTTGGTCGACTGTGGGGCTTGAACTCAGGGCCTGGCATGGTCTCTGAGCTTCTTTTGCTCAAGGCTAGCACTCTACCACTTGAGCCACAGTGCCACTTCTGGCCTTTTCTGTTTATATGGTACTGAGGAATGGAACCCAGGGCTTCATGCATGCTAGGCAAGCACTCTACCACTAAACCACATTCCCAGCCCACCCTAGGTCTCTCTGTGCTCAAGGCTAGCACTCTACAAATTGAGCCACAACCACACACTTCCGGTTTTTGAGTGGTTATTTGGAGATAAGAATCTCACAGGAGCCAGGTGCTGGTGGCTCACGCCTGTAATCCTAGCTACTCAGGAGACTGAGATTTGAGGATCATGGTTCAATGCCAGCCTGGGCAGGAAACTCCATGAGACTCTTATCTCCAATAAACCACTAGAAAATCGGAAGTGGTGCTGTGGCTCAAGCAGTAGAGCACTAGTCTTGAGCTGAAGAGCACAGGGACAGCACCCAAGCCCAGAGTTCAAGCCCCATGACCAAAAAAAAAAAAAAAAAAAAAAAAAAAAGAATCACGCAGGGATTGTTCTGCCCGGGCTGGCTTAGAACTGTGATCCTCAGATCTCAGCCTCCTGAGTAGCTAGGATTATATGTGTGAGCCACCTGTGAGCCAAGCTAGCCCATTCACTTTAACGAAAGGAAACCTAGTCCCAGAGAATTTAACCCTCAAAATCATAGAGCTATTATACCGACATTTGATCTTCATATTATGTGATCCTACACACAATCACAATATTGTTTGTAGAAGTACTTGTGTTCCTTGCTCCTATGCTCATCAGTATAAGAGGAATACCAGCATACTCCTAATGTGTACTTTGCTGTGTTGTTACAGCAAAGACAGTTACATATTTACTAGCTACTCTTTCACTCAGTTGCATACAATTATTAGCATTTTAACTTCCTTTTTATATATGAAAACATTTGTATAAATCTGTTGGCAGAGATGATTAAAGGTTTTTCAAACTCATCAGTTATCTCTCTCTCTCTCTTTTTTCTTTTGATCTTGGGGCTTGAACTCTGGGCCTTGGTGCTATCCCTGAGCAATTCAGTTCAAGGCTAGTACTCTACCCCTTGAGCCACAGTGCCACTTCTGGTTTTCTGGTGGTTTAGTGGAGACAAGAATCTCATGGACTGTCCTGCCTGGGCCAGCTGTGAACCAGGATCCTCATATCTCAGCCTCCTTAGTAGTGAGGATTATAGGTATGAGCCACTGGCACTTAATTCATCAGCGTTCTTTAAAAGAAAAAAAAAAAAATGTACAGGGCTGGGAATGTGGCTTAGTGGTAGAGCATGAACAAAGCTCAGGGTTCGATTCCTCAGCACCACATAAGCAGAAAAAGCCAGAAGAGGCACTGTGGCTCAAGTGGTTGAGTGCTAGCCTTGAGCAAAAGAAACTGGGGACAGTGCCCAGGCCTGGGTTCAAGCCCCAGGACTGGCAAGAACAAAACAAAACAAGCAAACAAAAATGTATACAGGACACTCAAAACACAGTAAACTGGACGATTAAATAAATGAACATGCGGGCCGGGATGTTGCTCAGTGGAAAAGCGCTTGCCTAGCAATGCAACGTCCTGAATTAATCCCCAGCACCAGAAAAGACCAAAAAGAAAAAAAAAGAAAAGAAATGAACATGCCCCAGCAAGGCAGGGGACATGGGGAAGGCTTATTAAGAAGGATCTCACTAAGGTTTTCCCAGGCCGGCCTCGTACCTGAATAGCTAGGATTGCAGGTGTGAGCCACCTGCCTGCCTGGCCAACAATTTTTTTTTTTTAAAGAAAGTTTGTTTTTGTCATTGTAGTGGTGGTATTTAGACTAACAAGTTGCTGGAATGTTCTGAGGCAGGAATAAACTAACAGCTCTAGCCATTACCTGCAAATGACAGCTGCTTCAGGCGCGCATTCGATCGAGCTTCCTGGACTTTATCTGTCAGTGACTTCCAGGCATCTGAAAGGAAAAGAAGAAAACTGTAGGCTGAAAAATATCCATGCCAACATCTCTTAATACTAATGGTGTGCAATACGTATTGTGCTTAGGCTCCTACAGTGCAACACACATCTTCTTAGGATAGAACAGCTTGTTTTCCTTTTGTTTTTAGTAGTACTGGAGCATGAACTCACAGCCTTGTGCTTAGCTGTCTTCTGTACAGCTAGTGTTCTACCACCTGAGCCATGCCTCCACTCCAGCATTTTGATGATTAATAGGTAGAGCCTGAGAGACTTTTTACTTGGTACCCAGTCCTCCTAATCTCAGGCTCCCATATAGCTTAGGATAACAGGTGGGTACCACCACCACCAACCATCTGTTAGAAGGGGTCTTTTCTGCCTGGGCTAGCCTCGAATCACAATTCTCCTGTTCTCCACTAGGCATAAGCCACATCACCAAGCTTTTTTCTTTGCATACGGTATAACTCACTATGTCTCTCCCACCTCCATTTTTCAAGGGCTGAGATTAGAAGCATGCACTAGCATTCCTCATTTTCTCTGTGTGTGGTTCTGGAGAATCACACCCAGAGCCTTGCCCACACTAAGCATAGAGGGAACTTAAAAGTAAAATCATTTTACTAACACTGCTGCTGGTTCCTTGAAGGAGCCCTCTGTGCCGTGCTCTGGTGCACAGCCATCTTGCTGCTTGACAAGCAGATTCTAAGGAACTAGAATTGCGTGTGTTAAGGTGGCTCAGTGGTAGAGTGCTTGCCTTGCATGCATGAAGCCCTGCATTCGATTCCTCAGCACCACATAAGCAGAAAAACCTGGAAGTGGGCTGGGAAGGTGGCTCAGTGGTAGAGTGCTTGCCTTGCATGCCTGAAGCCCTGGGTTCAATTCCTCAGCACCACATAAGCAAAAAGAAAAAAGCCAGATGCTGGGAAAACTGGGCAGCCACATGCAGAAAACTAAAAGTGGACCCCAGCCTATCACCACGCACCAACATCAACTCAAAATGGATTAAAGACCTTAACATTAAACCTGAATCTCTGAAACTACTGCAGGACAGAGTAGGAGAGACACTTGAACTAATAGGCACAGGAAGGAACTTCCTGAACAGAGTCCCAGGGTCACAACAAGTTGGAGAGAGACTCGACAAATGGGACTACCTTAAAATAAAAAGCTTCTGCACAGCTAAATCTATCGCAACTAAGCTAGAAAGACAACCAACTAATTGGGAAAAAATATTTACCAGCAATATATCAGACAAGGGGTTAACATCCTGTATATACAGGGAACTCAAGAAACTAATCCCTCCCAAACCTAACAAACCAATTACTAAATGGGCAAGGGAACTAAAGAGGGACTTCTCAAATGAAGAAATAAAAATGGCAAAGAAACACATGAGGAAATGTTCATCATCCCTGGTGGTGAAGGAAATGCAAATAAAGACAACCCTGAGATACCACCTTACCCCAGTCAGAATGTCCCACATCCACAAATCAGCCAACGACAAATGCTGGAGGGGATGTGGAGAAAGAGGAACCCTATTACACTGCTGGTGGGAATGTACACTTATACAACCACTTTGGAAAGCAGTCTGGAGGGTCCTTAGAAAGCTAAAGATTGACCTCCCTTACGACCCAGTCATACCACTTCTAGGCATCTACCCTGAACAACAGGAACCAATATACAAGGACACGTGCACCTCCATGTTTATTGCAGCACTGTTCGCAATAGCTAGGATATGGAAACAACCTAGGTGCCCCACCACAGATGAATGGATCCAAAAATTGTGGTATCTATACACAATGGAATATTATGCAGCCATTAGAAATGACAAAATAATGGCATTTGCAGGGAAATGGATGGAGCTAGAAGGAATCATGTTGAGCGAGGTAAGCCAAGAACGAAGAGACAAACGGTACATGGTCTCCCTCATAAGTGGATGCTAAATCCAAAAGGTTAGGTGATACGACAAAACTAACAGGACTTAAGAAACAAAGAACTCCCGCTCATCTAGTTGAACCACTACTAAATATCCTCATGCTGCTGATCACAAATATGGTATATAACATGTGAACACTGTTATATATTACAGACTGTGGTAGACAATTTGCTCCAGGGAAGTTAGAATGAACTTGTGACTTTGAAATTATGTAATCATTTAATCACAATCAAAAAAAAAAAAAAAAAAAAAGAACCTCGGGGAAGGGAGGGAGGGAGGGGATGGTAGGGGGAAAACAATGGAGGGGGTAACAATGTTCAAGAGGAAGTGTACTCATAACCTCACTCATGTAACTGTAACCCTCTGTATAGTAGCTTTACAATAAAAAAAAAAAAAAAAAAAAGAAAAAAGCCAGAAGTGGCGTTGTGGCTTAAGTGGTAGAGCGCTAGCCTTAAGCTGAAGAGCTGAGGGACAGCGCCCAGGCCCAGAGTTCAGCCCCCACAACCAGACTCCCCCCAAAAAAGTATCTTTTTATATCAACATGTAAAACTAAAGATGAGGAATGTGCGTAAATGCCCAGTTTCTTTCTTTTTTTTGTCGGTTGTGGGGCTTGAACTCTGGGCTTGGGTGCTATCCCTGTGCTCTTCAGCTCAAGGCAAGCACTCTACCACTTGAGCTACAGCGCCACTTCTGGTTTTCTAGTGGTTTATTGGAGGTAAGAGTCTCACGGACTTTCCTGACCAGGTTGGCTTTGAACGGTGATCCTCAGATCTCAGTCTCCTGAGTAGCTAGGATTATAGGCGTGAGCCACCGGTGCCCAGCTTCCGGTTTCTGTTTTTAAAGTGGTCAGTACCAATCTAAAGCTTTTGTGATCTGTCTTACCTTTTGTTTGGTCAATCATGGAGGCTGAACTCAGGGTCTGCATGCTGTCTCTGAGCTCTTTTGCTCAATAGTGCTGTACCACTTTGAGCCACAGTATTACTTTTGGTTTTTGAGTGGTTAATTGGAGAAAAGAATCTCTAGCCAGGTACTCATGGCTCATGCCTATAATCCTAGATAATCAGGAAGTTGAGATCTGAGGAACCGGATTTGAAGCTAGCCTGGGCAGGACAGTCCATGAGACTCTTATCTCTAATTAACCACCAGAAAATCAGAAGTCGTGCTGTGGCCCAAAGTGGTAGAGAGCTAGCCTTGAGCAAGAAGAGCTCAGGGACAGGGCCCAGGCCCTGAGTTCAAGCCCTACAACCAACAACAACAACAAAAACCTCACAGGGACTGTTCTGCTTAAGCTGGCTTTGAACTCAGATCTCAGCCTCCTGAGTAGCTAGGATTTCAGGTGTGAGTCTCCCGGCCCAGCTGGTCTTAAATTTTACTTAAAGTGCACAAAATAAATTAAAATTTTTTTTAAAAAGTACAAACTTTACAAACAACTGTGAAAGAAGAAGTGGCACTGATGCTCTGGCCGGGGGTGGGGCTGAGAAGACAAAGAGAAGACAAAGCTGAGCTCATGAAGGGCAAATGCAGGAGAGCCTTCCAGGCAGAGGGAAGAGCGAGGGGAAGGGGCCTGGCCTTGGCTCCGTGCTCTCTTCTTTGGGCGGCACTGGGGTTTGAGTTCAGGGCCTCCCACTTGCTAGGAGGCATTGAGCCACCCAACCAGCCCAGCGTATGTAATCTTAACAACAAAACCCTTACCACCAGATTTTTACCTTGAGCTGTGACTGTCTACCAGAGAGAATGTGGTCCACTCTCCATGTGTGAATCCTCCGTACTACAGTGGCACCACCGAGGTGGCTGAAACAGGGCTACTAAGGGAGGGCTGACTGAATTCAATCCACTCACCTTCAATACTTTCTGCACAGATCTGAAAGCCATCATCACTTGAAATTTCAAAAACAAGTCCTTTCTTGGGCTTTTTCTCAGCAATGCTTTCCTTCCGCTTCTGTTCTTGCTGGAGCCAAAGCATCAGAGGAGAGCTGAAACTGCTTTCTTCTTCTTCCACTGCTTTAGGTTCTAGGCCGGGAAAAAACAAAAAAACAAAAACAAAACCAGCAGCCATATGGTTAGAGCAGCGAATGCTTCCTGCAGGGCAACTGCGCGCAGTGCTGTCCCACGCGCTGCTGCCAGCCTCGAGGCCTGGTGAGCTTGCCTCGGGTTAGAGCCAGCGTGACGTTTGGCTGTCTCTGTGGCATGACAACTGGCTCATCTGCCCTAAGCATGTGTCTTCACCTACTGAAGATGTGAAGACAGGTGGAAAGCAAGCCCCTGTGCCTTGCTCTTCCAGAGCATGACCTCATCGCAGCCAGCGAGGCGAGGTGAGCTCCGTGCGGCGGGAGCCCTGCACACACAGCTGGCGTGGGGAGCAGTGGCCACAGGGCAACTGTCTCTGGAGGTGGCATTTGTGGCAATAATGTACCAGGACCCTTGAGAGACAGGCACATCAGCAGGCTACAGTAACGGGCTATCTCGTGACTCCGCCTTTTCTGTGTGCTTCCGGTTGGGACGCTCTCTCCTTGGGACTGGGCAAGGTCTTTAACTGAACTCACAAGGCTGGATGGAAAGTGCTATGGGACATGTGTGAATCTGTCTAATAAAATCAAGATGGTTCTTGGTTTCCCTTTGTGACTAGGGAGGAACTCAGGGTTTCACTGTTTAAATGTCACTGCTATAAAGACCAGCACAGCAGGAGAGGATTTCCAGGCATTATTTGGCCCTCTGGCTGTGGCAGACGATCAGACTATAACACACAACATGATTAATAACTGCTGCTCTGCTTCATGCTAGCCAGTGCTTTACTTCTTTGAGGATTACAAGTATTAGCACTGTTCTGGAATCCAGAAAGATGGGAGGTTAAAGTCAGTAATTGTAGCAGTTCCTCTAGCTGTAATTCCCTGATACGAATCCATTCACCTCCCACATACCTGTATTTTCTTGCTCGCTTGTTGGATTCGGTGTTGCCTGAACCTCTGGAAGAACAGCCACTTGTCTGAATAGAGAAAACCGTATGAGAGGCAAGGTCAGCTAGTTCTTCAAAAATAAAAACAGCTCTCAATCTGCCAGGACGGGTGCTAGTTATATACAAAACAGCTAGTCAAAGTGAACCACAAGGTGCTTTGTGTAAAACCCACTGAATGAACTCCATTGCTACACTCCTGAATAGCACACAAAAGAGCCACTCCCTTGAGGTTCCTTCCCAAACATCAACAGTAGTATCTGTGTGTGGTAGACTGTGCCCTTGAAATTCTTCTCATATCCATAGAAATAGGGGAAAAAATATGAAAGAACACTTGTCAGAAGCAGTTCCAGAATTACTTAAATAAGGCTATCTGGTTCAGCTAAAAATAAAGTAAGTTGTACAAGCCAGTAAACCACCATCTACTTTCACCTTCTAAAATTAATCCTGAAACAATCTGACTACAAAGCAATATATATTAACTGGTTAAATAAACCATTGCAGATCCACACAATAGTATTGGAGGTAGTGACTATAAAAAGTGAGGTGTGGGGCTGGGAAGGTGGCTCAGTGGTAGAGTGCTTGTTTCGCATGCATGAGGCCTGGGTTTGATTCCTCAGCACCACATAAACAGAAAAAGTCAGAAGTGGCACTGTGGCTCAAGTGGTAGAGTGCTAGCCTTGAGCTGAAGAGCTGGGGGACAGCGCCCAGACCCAGAGTTTAAGCCCCACGACAAAAAAAAAAAAAAGTCAAGTGTGTTAGCTAGGCACTAGTGGCTCATGCCTGCTGTCATCCTAGCTACTGAGGAGGCTGAGATCTGAGGATTACGGTTCAAAGTCATCTGGACAGGAAAGTCTATTAGACTCTTACCTCAAATTAACCAGCAAGAAAAGCTGTAGAAGTAGAGCTCAAGTAGTAGAGTGCTAGATAGTCTTGAGCAAAACAGCTCAGGGACAATAGTGTCCTGGCCCAGGACTGGCACATACACAAAAAAAGTGAGTGCGGCTAGGTATGGTGGTAAACACCTGCAATCTCAGTACATGGAGGCTAAGACAGGAGGATTGCACATATAAAGCCAGCCTGAGCTACATAGTTGTCTCTGTCTCAAAAACAATATAAAGCAAAGCAAAGCAAAGCAAAATAAAACGACACAGGTACGCTGCTGCTACCATACTGGCACAGGAAGATGTATGCAAAATACTAATTTTTTAAATTTTTATTTTTTTGGTGCCAGTCCTAGGGCTTGAACTCAGAGCCTGGAAGCTGTTCCTCTAGCACTCTACCACTTAAGCCACAGCTCCACTTGCAGTTTTTTGGTGGTTAACTAGAGATAAGAGTGTTACAGATTTTTCTGTCTGGTCTGGCTTTGAACCACGATCCTCAGATCTCAGCCTCAGATTAAGGCGTAAGCCATTGGCACCTGGCCTTTCCTTGTTTTTTGTAAATAATGATTATAAGACAGGCACCAAGACTCTTATCTCCAACAATTAACCACCAAAAAGCTGAAAGTGGAACTGTGGCTGAAGTGGTAGAGCACTAGTCTTGCATGAAAAAAGCTCAGAACAGTGCCCATGCTTCACGGCCCAGGACGAGCCAAAAAAAAAGCCAGTAAAGATGGGTAAGTACATTATTGTTCCTTTTATGTAAAAAAAACCATATATACTTTATACAACTACTTAAATAATGAAAAAGTAAAAAAAAAACCCAAACAAGCATATACACATTCATACAAATACTATGTATATCATATCTGCATATGCATATAAATGTCTGCATGCATGAAGCTACAGGTGAAGGGCAGGGCAGAATTGTTCACTATACATTTTTTTTTTGGTCGGTCATGGGGCTTGAACTCTGGGCCTGGGCGCTGTCCCTCAGCTCTTCAGCTCAAGGTGAGCGTTCTACCACTTGAGCTACAGCGCCACTTCCGGTTTTCTAGTGGTTTATTGGAGATAGGAGTCTCACAGTCTTTCCTGCCCGGGCTGGCTTTGAACTGTGATCCTCAGATCTCAGCCTCCTAAGTAGCTAGGATTACAGGTGTGAGCCACTAGCGCCCAGCTACTGTACATTATTTAAATAATCCTATGCTACTTTACTTTCTAAACAGCCTGTACTTAATTCCATTAAAAAAGGAGACCTTGTGCCAGGCTCTGGTAGCTCATGCCTATAATCCTAGCTACTCAGGAGGCTGAGATTTGAGGATTGTGATTTGAAGGCTGGCCTGGTAGGAAAGTCCACAATACTCATCTCCAATGAACCACCAAAGTGGCAGAATGCTAGCCTGGAGCAAAAATGCTCAGGGACAGTGCCCAGTCCCTGATTTCAAGCTCCATGACTGACCAGGAGAAAAAAAAGATTTGTAAGGCAGAGTGATACTGTCCAAAAAAGAAAGAAATATTGCTCATTACTGGACTTGTGAAATGGTAACCCCTCTGTACAATACCTTAATAACAACTACAAAATTTTATATATATCTATATCTGTATCTATATCTATATATTTAAAAAGAAGATCATTGAAAACAAAATAAACCAGATGCACATGGGGAGGAAGAGTTCTGAGTCGGGCAGAGCGAGTGGAGGTTAGTCGTAGGAGCTCACCCTCTGGGCTGCCCACACTCCTTCTGCAGCGGCTTCTGTGCTGGCTGCTCCACCCTTGCTGCGTCCGGCTGCTCTGTCTCTGCTCCCAGGGCCCTGGAACAGAGTCATTTGTATAAAGAGATAACCACTAAACATGGGCCAAAGTGGACACAGAGGTCAGTCTACAGAAGTAACTATCCAGCCTGGACAACACTTACAAGGCTGCATCAGTACTCAAATTCATAAGTTAGAATGATGGTCACCAAGCGAGGGCACGGGGGCCTTTCTGGGAGCACTAGAAGTGTTCGCACAGATGAGCAAATGTACAACACACGTACACACAAATGTCAAGCGTGCCTGGCACACTTTACACATCACACTGCAGTGGCACGTTTTGTAACCGGACTCTGAGTCTCCACAGCGGGGACCTCTGCCCACCACACAGGAGCTTTGCATCGTTCCCTAGCATCCTAAACTCCCAGCCAGAAGGAAACGGGAGCAAAGAGCAGCACTGCTTGTAAAGACTAATCACAGATGTAGCGCTCTCCAAGAGTCAACACCAGGCAATAAAATGACTCCAAGTCCAACCCCAGAAAGCCTGGTGAGGCAACTGAGTGCCTCTGCCCAGACTAGAACGGACGTGTGGCTGGCTCACCCTGCGACCGGCGGCCCGGCGGTCGTGCTGGCTTCTTGGTCTGGAACGTGTGCTTCGGAACTGGTCCTCGAGTGGGAAACTTTGTGCTTCTTGCCACTCCCTTTGTCCAGAGGCAGCTGGATCCGTTTGACTTTTGCTTTGGTTTTGGTGGGAGCTGGCACTGAAGGGCTCGAGGACTGCTGTCCAGAAGAGGGAGAGCCGCCGGGAGAGGCCGAGCTGGCCGGCGCAGCGGGGGGCAAGGCCTTGCTCTGCTCCAACCTCACGTTGTTAGGGACATCGGCTGTTTGGGTGAAGTTGGGTGCCGGGGTCCCAGAGGCAGAATCCAGATCCCGCTGGGAAGAGAGGCTCCCGGTTTTGCCAGCGAGGAGCTGGTTCACGTGCTGCAGCTGATAGTGCTCTTCTGTCTCCGCAGGAGGAGACGTGGAGGCCATGGCCGAAGTCTGTGGAGAAGGGAGCACACAGATGCTTGAGCCTGCGGCCATTGCCGCTGTAGAGGGCGTCTGTGTGGTCCCTAGTTGCGGGAACATTCCCGAGCTTGGTGGTAAAGTCACAGGCTGTTCCTGAATACCCAGGCTCTGCTGGCTGGCTTTGATTAGAAGATTGCTGATGGAGCCAATGTCTGAGGACCCAAGCAACCTCGGGCTGGTTAAGGTGACGTGTCCCGGAACTGACGCACTACTCGTAGGGGTTGTGGACGTTTGCATAGACACCACATTCAAGACAGAGGGGCTGGACGCCAAGCCGGACACGGGCCCCGTGGCGAGGTGGCTGGCATCCTGGCTTATCGTTGCCGGGGCGGGAGTTCCGCTCACACTCTGTGGTAACAGCGGGGCCTGTTCAAAATACATCACACCAGATTTAGATCTTTTTATGATGTTGGGGACAGTTCGGTGAGAGGAAGTATTAAGCGACCCCAAATCTAAGAGATTAGGATGACTGGAAAGCTGGGAGGGTGTGAAGTTGATCAACGTCATATTGGAAACCACGTCGGAAGGGGCAATGGTGGAGGGGGTGCTAGAGGGCGCGAGTTTTTTGTTTTTCCGTGTGTGTAGACGAGAGATGGGTCTTTTCTTGAGTCCAGAGGATGGGGTGGCTACTGTGGTAGTGAGGTCTGTCCTCTGGTTGGCTTCTGAAACCAAAAGTTGGGGATCTGGAGGAGGTTGAACCCCAATAAGTAGGCCCGAAGGCGGACTGCTGATGTTGGGTGGGAAGCTACTCTGAGTAGCGGCGGGGAAGGAATGCAAGTGCTGGTGATGAGGCATGGAGAGCAGTCCTTTGCTAGCAGGGGGGAACAGGGACTGAGAAGCCGGCAAGCTGGGGTTCAGTCCAGTGGTCAGGGTGAGACCACTTCCCATGGGCCCCAATACTGAAGAATTGGTCTCCATCACACTGGGGGCAGAACTAACAGGAGAGGTCAATTGGATTTTCTGGGTCACTCCATTTGGAAGAGTTTGGAGAACATAAAGCGGCTGCATGTTCTGGTTCACCACAATGAGTTTCTCGGTGGCTGGCTTCAGGTGGGGTGGAGTGGTCTGGACAGCTGCGTTAGAAATCTGAGAAGGGCCGGGGCTATCAGTAGAATTGGGCACGTACTTCTGGTTCTGGATGGGCACAGTTGGGGAAACGGGTACCTGAAGGCCAGGAGTGCTACTGTTCCGAGGTAAATCCTGACTGGTGCCATGACTCTGTTCCACAGAACCACACGGAGGGCTGGAGATGTGGTCGGCATCCATGTGACCCTGGATGAAGTGGTCAGGAGTCATGTGACCCTCGGGAGCAGGATCGACCCCTGGGCTCAGCAGCGCTGGGTCACCGTCAGCAGAGGCCACCGATTTTTCTGTGATGGCCACTCGCTTCTCCCCGGAATCTGAGATTACCGCCAGTCGACTGGGATTCTGGCTAGGGACTGTGGGACTCCGGGTGGTGAGGACGGACAGATCAGATGGCAGTTCTAGAGGCAACTCAAACTGCTCCTCTGCTGAGATCGAGGAAGAGACGCTACTGTCCACGGGTTCTGTGGTTGGCAGCTGCTGAGAAAATACTTCAAAAAGACCCATGTCTTTCTCACGATTGCTGTCAAGGCCCAACCCTTCACCAAGATTCAAGAGTTCAGAGGATGAGGACTCCGGGCTCTCCCCCAAGGCCTGCATGGACGGGGTATTCTTCAGTACAAAGTCCATGATGTCCGAAGGCAGGATGTTCCCACAGTCGTCACTGTTGTTGTTGTCGGAGTCCGACTTCAGGAGCTCAGTGTTGTAGGTGTCCAGTAGGTTTTTGTCTGATGGGGTGCTCGCGTGGACTCTGCGGCTCGACTCCAATGAGCTGAGCTGAGCTTCTAAGGAATCCTGCCCCTGTGTTTTCAGCCTGCTTACGGAGTGGCAGTTGTCCATCTTCGGCTCACTTTTGTGGCCCACAGAACTCTTAGTGCCATGTTCTTTTTCTCCAGCATCTTCGGGCCGATCAATCTTTAAATTTTCCGTTCCGTTTTCTTTGCCGTTTCTCTTTGCGATCTGGCTGCTTTTCCTTGTCGTGGCTGTGACGCTCGTGTCACTCTCGGTCCCGTCGTCAACACCATCCAACTGTGAAATTTTGGGGAGGTCACACTGCTCCTCTTCCCGAAACAAGTTGTGGGACGCGAGCCGCTCCTCCCCACCTGAAGAAATGACTGTTCTGGTGAAGTTGTAATAGTATAAGTCGTCTTCATCTGAAGTGCTCAGGTCATCAGCCCCGTCTACCTGTCCTTCTGCCGATCTCTTGCCTCGCTTCTTCCCAGGGGAGCTGCTGTAGAATGGAATGTCTTCTTCCCCGTAGGATCTGACGCCATAGAGCGGGGTGAGCCCAAAAAACATGTTAGACCGCGCGCGGGCACTGCGGCGGGGATATCTCCTCTTAAAAGAGCCATCCTCCTGAGGTTTGGGGCCATCTGGCAGTAGTAGGTTTCTGTCCTGCACTGGAAGGTTCTGGTAGCTGTTCCTCTGAGACTCCTGGGATGAGGTATTGTTGGGGCTTGGTTGGATCACTGGACCATCCCCTGGACTTTTGGAGGCTGAAACAGGGTCTGTTGGTGATGCGGATTCCATTTGCACAGGGGAGGCAGGACCGCTTTCTTTCAGGGCATTTTTGGATTGACTCTCACTTTCCATTTTTAGTGGTGTCACCTTGACGGTGCATTTCCGGGGTGCCTGTGATTCCTTGCAAGACTCTTCTACTTGCATGGATACAGCTTTAGGGACTCCTGAAAGAGAAAGGCCCTTATCCCCGATCTTCTCAGAAGAAATGTTATTACATGGCCGCTGCCCCATAAACTCAGGAGTCAAAACTTCATCAATGAACTCTGGCTTTAGGTTTCCGTCCTCATTAGCTGTTACTTGACCAGGTTCCAAAAAAGATTTACTGGAATGCTTTTCTTTGAAAGTTTCCTTAGAAGATTTTTTCCCTTTCTGCCTCCTGTCTCTGGAACTAGATCCCACATGTTCATTGATAATGGACGACCTATTGCTTACTCCAGAAAGTTTCAGAGTTTTGACTTCAATATCTTCATCTGGGGAGAGGTTTGCTGGTTGGGCAGACTCTGTGTGTTGGTCTCGATCATTCCTTTGCCCTCTTAAATGGAGTTGTGCGAACGGAAGGGCCTCTTTGGAAGGAAATGACACTGAAGACATCTCAGAGAAAGCGCCAGTTTTGCTAACACTCAGCTCTCCAGAAGTGGCGTTATGAGCCTGGGAGGCCAGTTTGGGAATGGCAGCGTGAGCCACATGGGCAGCTCCCTCTGAGCTCTTGGAACTCAGCATTTTGGTCTTCTCTCCCTTTAAAGAGGAACTCTTGGATGCTGAGTCTGAAGCACTGGAATGCTTCATTTCTGAAGATGACGATCCATCCAAGTGGCTTGTTTTAGCGCCTACAGTGGCCACGGTCCTTCCTGAGGTGGGAGTGCCATGCCCCAGATTCACGCTTGAATTCGGTGGCCCTAAGCCGTGATCCACTTTGGCACTCGCCTCAGCGTCTGGAGCAGTCCCACTGGCGGAGACGGAGGAGACACTATTCCTGGAGTAAGTGTTTCCAGTTCTCATGGGAGAGACTATCTGGAGCTTTGACCGGAGAGGCGACAGGGAGGAAGTACTGTGGCGCCTCGAGCCAATGCTTCGCAGTCCGGAGGAGAGGAGAGGATCACCCACTGTGACGATTTCATGAGTGGTTGGGGTAGGACTTCCTGAGTAAGAGAGAAAATAACAAAGTCTGTCACTGATAGAACAGATGTAGCAAAGTTGTTGTTTTCAGTGACTTGGCTGCATCCATTTATAGAGAACTGAAAACAAAGTTGTCATTTCTCTTGGGGCTAAGCTTCTGGGGTCAAGCCCTTTACCTGCAGAAGGCAATGGTCGACAGCCAGGGGATCTCTGTGTAGGAGAGTAGCTGGGTGTTCGAATCCTAGGAACCTTGGAGATGACATGGTAATAGCAGGAACTAGAGGTTTGCGCATGCGGAGGTCGGTCTGGTGATGGAGGACTGAGAATTGCAGCTGTATTTTGACTGTCTTTAGAGGAAATTTCTGTGGGGAGAAACAAAAATGCTTTTAACTATAAAAGCTTGGTTAACATACCAAACAAATAGCCAGGCGCTGGTGGCTCATGCCTGCATTCCTAACTACTCAGGAGGCTGAGATCTGAGGATTGTGCTTCAAAGCTAGCCCAGGCAGAAAAGTACCCATGAGACTTTTATTTCCAATTAATCATCAGAAAACCAGAAGTGGCACTGTGACTCAAAATGGTTGAACAAAAAGAGCTCGGGGCAGCACAGAGGGCCTGAGTTCAAGCTCTACAACTGACCAAAAAAACAAAACAAAAATCAAACCCAAGCTAGCTATTAGGGAAATATCTAACTAGAAACAAAAGTGTCCTATGAAAGTGGCTTTTCCCCTTCCAGCTTTTAATCTCAGTATGCACTCCCCGAACTCTAGTTCCGGCCCCAGTTGGAGTTTAGACTCACCAGTAAGCGATGACGGACTGTGGGCAATGGTCCTGTTTTCATCGTGTTGCACAGTGCTATTGATGTCTGGCTCTACAACCGGAGGCCGGCACTCCACTATCTTGCATGTATACACACAACGTTTTCGGGCATCGGTGGTGCTCCAGTACACCCGGGAACACCTGACAACGGAGAAGAATCACAAATGAGAGGACAGAAGCAAGTGGACGCTAACATTTGTCAAAACTTTTCCTCATCCTGGGTCCCCTGGTTTCCTGGATATAGTGTTTTTAGTTTTACTTCTGGAGTTCTTAGTTTACATTTCCCCTAGTTAGGTTGTTCCAAACTTAATGAAGTCTTTGGCCTTTCTTAGCCTCTCATAAAATTGCATAAGATTTGTTTTTTAAATGGTTCTCAAAATAATAAAATATCCTAAAATAGAGAAAAAGAAAAAGACTTACTACTACTACTACTACTACTACTACTACTACTACTAGGAAGAGTTACTGACTCCCAGGAAAGGACTGATGCCCCACAGCGTGTACAAAGAGAGGCCCTAAAACCAGGGCAACCTGAGGGGAAGTTCCCTTCGGGAGAAAAGCCCCATGAGGCAGGAAAAATGTAATTGCTTCAAGTCTGCTGCCTTGTTTATACAAAGAGCTTCTAGCTGAATGTGAAGTACACGCTGTTATTACGACTGGAATGCAGAACAAATTGGAGTATTTATTACAAGACTCCAGTGAGGAAGATGTAAGGACAATTTGATCTTACTATCAGCTTGTTAGAGGCTCAAACAATTCGCATCTTGTAAGATTACAAATCTTTTGTTTGCTTGTTAATTTGCTCTGCAATGGTCTCACCAGGTAGCAGGCTGGTTTAGAATTTTTTTATTTTTGGTATATTTGATTTTGAAAACATCTGGATTTTGGCATGAATGGAATTTAGAGGAATCTTGAGACGGACTCTGTTTTTAACAGACTTTATTTGAAAATGATTCTGAAGTGCCACAATGCTTTACTTACATAATGACATTTACCTGACACAGTGTTTTAATTCCATACTACAAGCTGATACAAGTAATTTTTAGAACGTGTTATAAGCTAACAAGTACATGTCTACATGAATGGCCTGTATATTACATCCAGTGCTCTCAAGTTGTAGGGGTTGCTGTGTTTATACTACTACTTACTGATATCCAATAGGAAAGAGTTTATCTTCACAGTCAGACAGATCATTCAAAATTCCCAAGCAGTCGATTGTCATTGAGCCTGTCCGATGGAAAATGAAGGGATTAGAAGAGACGTGTGTGTGTGTGTGTGTGTGTGTGTGTGTGTGTGTGTGTGTGTGTGTGTATGTGTGTGTGTGTTTCCATCTGAGAGCTAGAAAGCACCCAAAAGGCAATACAGCCTTCCCCAGTAAGCAGGGTTAGGTCATACCAATCATCATGTGTATATTTTCTGGTTCTAAGCCATTGAGGAACTTCCTTCTCAAGCTGATCCCTTCAAAATCCACAAAAACTCTTCTAAACACTTCGAATCCATTCTCAGGAACCACCTTAAATGAAAGCAGTGGTTGCGGTTAGTGGGAGGTCCCGGGGTACTGACTGAGGGAAAGCACAGAACCCATCACAAAATCACCCTGTCTCACTAGCGGCACCTCTTTGTTTCCAACAAGACAAGATGACTTCAAGAACACTTAGTAACACTCGGTAAGAAAGTAAAACTGGTTTGTCAACTTGCTATTTTCAGTATTGTTTCCCCTGAATTTCTAGGGAATTCAGAAAGTATCTAACCAAGTCATAAGAAGAACTCCAGGAAACTTAAATATATTTTGCTAAGTGGACGAAGCTGGTCTGAAAAGGGCCATTGTGTTCTACACAATTCCATGGATAGGAAATCCTGGAAATGACAAGACCATGGAGAAAGATTGGTGGTTGTACAGGGCTGGGGAGAAACAGAAAAGCAGGCAGAACAGAAAGGGATGTTTAGACAGTGAAAACACTGGTATGAAAACACTATGTGACGTTTGTCCAGATTCACAGATGTACACTATTAAGGGTGAGGTAGTTACACAGTGATGTAACTTCATTAGCTGTAACAAACATAGCACTGGGGGAGGGGAGAATGCTAATTATTCTGGGGGAGGTGGGGTGGCGGAGAGCAGAGTGCATAGGCCATCTCTGATCTCTTACTTAAGTTGCCATGAACCTTAAACTGCTCTCAAAGAAAAAGCCTACCATGAAAACGAAAACAAAACCCACTAAAGCAAAGCCAGCTCACCTCGCCTTTGATCAAATCCCGGTGTCGTTGGCAGTACACCTTTTTATCATCCAGAAAGACACAGTTCTTGGCTCGGGAACACATGAAATGGTAGTTGCTTGTGCAGGAGGTGAGACAGCAACCCACAGTGGCTCCTGGCTTTTGGCAGAATTCGCATCTCTAAAGACCCAAGAAGAACAAGAGCCCAATGAGGCCTTCAGAAGTCTACAGAACTGCCCTGCTTGGCGCCTCCTACAACGCATCTGCTGCTGACTTGCAGAGAAATGAAGTGCATAGCTTCTTCACACCCTTTCTCTCCCATACGGGGCTCTGTGTCTACTGCATTTAATTACTGCAACTTGGATTCATCATTGATTTACAGGACATGGAATTTGGAAGATAAATGCCAAAAACATCACCCCTGTACTTACTAGACAGATCAAACAGCCACATCACAGGGTTCAGATTCCCCTTCCTTTCCCCTGTGTATCACTCATTATTGTCACAGTCTGCACCTCTCTCCCAGCAGGATCTCTTTTTGAGAATCCTTCATTTTCACACCTTCAATGCCTTCTAACTCAGCACCACTGCCACTACCTACTTTCCACTGCATGTACACACATGCATGTGTCTGTGAGTTTGTTCTGGAGACTCAGAATGCTGCTTCAGTGGTATCTGAGGTCACTCACATACTTGAATTAGACCCCAAACTAAATGATGCTTTGTTTTCGATTTCTTTTTGCATGGACCCACAGAGAGAATATCCACAAACGGACAGGGAATGTGTTTCCCTGGATTTGCCCACTAAGTCCTTACCAGCTGCTTGCCCCTGACCACCGCCATGTGCACATTCTTTAGTGACCCATCATCATCTTCAAATACTTCTGCTGACCACAGAGCACAATTCACATGTGTCCACTCATTCTGGCCAATGTACAGCAAACGACCAGCATCCTATGAAATAGAGATTTCTTTTCTCTTAAAGAGTTCAATATAATGCTCAAGACATGTTCCTTAAGATTAGTTTTACCTTAGTTAAGACAACCTCAAGAAAGAACCTATTAATTCTTTAGGGAGGCACACAAAAATCTCAATTCAGTTTTCAATGTTTCCATTTTCTTTCTAGATTACTTTTTCAGACTGGAAATATTTTATAAATCTGGAGAGTCAGAAAGTGTAATATGTGGTAAGGTTATATAAATGTGCTATTACTTCTTTAAAACCATTATTTAGAGTCAGCATTCAGACTGCATTAAAAACTTTTTCCTGCCAGTGCTGGGGTTGGACACACAGCCTCATGCAGGCTAGGTAAGTGCTCTGTCACTGAGCCACACTCCCAAGTCCCCAAACTCCTGAAAAAAAAATTGTAAAAAGCTTACTATGTACCAAGCATTAAATAAGAGTTTTCCATACATTACTCTCTGAGGTAAGCATTGTTATCTTTCCCTAGAAAAAGATTGTGAGGAGGCTGGAGCAGGTAGCGCTGATGGGGAAGAGGAGGGTGAAGAGTGCTAGCTGCCGCTGCTTTACACTCCAACTCTTACGATGGTTTTATTTCTGTCATTGTTTTATTTCTGTGCATTGTTATCTTTATTTTACACATGTAATTGAGGGTCAGATAGACTAGGCTACTTGTTAACGTTGTAAGTAAATAGAAAAGCAGAGGAATGAACACGGCCGTCTGCTAGAAGCGAGGCTCTGATCTGTCCTATGTCCACGCTAAACACAGCTACTTCACCAGCAGCTTCTTCAGAATGCCCTTTTCTTTGTGGGCATCCCATTTGCCTAGCCACATCCCTAACCCTGACTTTCATAAATCTCTGTGTGTGTGTGTGTGTGTGAGAGAGAGAGAGAGAGAGACAGACAGACAGACAGACAGACAGACAGACAGAGCAAATGTGCGTGTGGGATGGTTCTAGGGCTGGAACTCAGGGCCTGGGTGCTGTCCCTGAGCTTCTTTCTTTTGCTCAGGCTGGTGCTCTACCACTTGAGCTTCAGTTCCAGCATTTTGGTGGTTAATTACAGATAAAAGTCTTGTGGACTTTCTTTTCCAGGCTGGCTGCGAAACCTCAGATCTCAGCCTCCTGAGTAGCATGATCCCAGCACCCAGCTTCATAAAATCTTTTTAAGGAATTCCCATGATAAATTATTAGGCAGCAATAGAGTATTTTAAAGCAAATCACATTTTAAATTAATTTGTCAGTTATAAGAAAACAAAATAATACTCTTCAAGTCAGACATGATGGTGCATGCCTATCATCCAGCTACTGGGAGGCTGAGGCAGGAGGATTACATGTTCCAGGCCAGCTCAAAACAAAACACAACAAAAGTGTACAGTAAGTACCATCAAGTGCCAAACAAGCGGCACCACAGGCATCAAAATTACCACAAATGGGAAGCAGCTCACAAGCGGTGTCTATTAACCAGGATCTTCTGTCTCCAAGTACTTACATTTGCACTGTCATCACCATACATCAAACACAATGCACATTGTCTGTTATCCTCTATGCCTGGGGGCGGGTTCAGCTCTGGGCTGTCTTCTCGAGTCCGATCAGTACCTTGGAACCCGAAAGACAGGCAGTTAAAATTGACAGTGCTATGTTTAATTCCCAGGACAAAAGAAAACAATCCTGCTAGTGTATGTAAAATAAACACTTTTTAAAAAACGTTCCAAGTTTTGTTGTTTGATTGAGCTAAAATACGCAGAGTATTGATGTCAGGCTTTGTTAACATCCCAAGTGAAGCAAAAACAATGACTTCATTACATTTATGGATGATCTGAAAATTCCTTCTTCTGATTAAGTTTGGGTTTACAAAGTCTGTCATATGCATCTAGAGAGAAAAAGATCACGCCTCTTCCCTTGATGCCTTACTCAAAATCGGCGGTGTGGGAGGATGCAGAGGCGTGGGCGAGTCTGGTTCTCCAGGGCCCTTGGGTTTGGGAGCGGGGATGATTTTCTTCATGAGAGGAGGCTGTTCGGTGTGGCTGTTCTCCTCTCGCTCCTGCCACTGAGCATAATTATGGTCAAGTGAAGGTGGAAGCACTGCGTTTGGTAGCATCCCACTGCTGAAAACAACCGATTCAACAAGTATTTATTGAGCTCCTACAGTACACCTAGAACAATACAGATAATCAAATGCTTGACAGCACCAGGTCTGGACCCATCTGAGCCACTTATAGAATGTATTTGAAATTTGCTTAATTATATAGTACCTCAATGTTCTATAGTATTATTAAGATAGTATATATTAGATAGTATTTCAACTCTCCCCCACCCCCACTGCCAGTTCCCAGTTTCTCACTATACAGCCCAAGTTAGCCAAAATCTTCCATTCTCAGCTTCAAATATGCTGGGATTAGCTGGGTGCCAGTGGCTCACACCTGTAATCCTAGCTACGCAGGAGACTGAGATCTGAGGATCACAGTTCAAAGCCAGCCTGAACAGGAAAATCCATGAGACTCTCATCTCCAATTAACTACCAGAAAACCAGAAGTAGCACTGTGGCTCAAGTGGTAGAGTGCTTGCCTTGAGCTGAAGAGCTGAGGGACAGTACCCAAGCCCAGAGTTTAAACCCCATGACCACCACCACCAACAAAATGCTGGGATTATACCACCACACTTGGCTTGAAAAGGTAATTGTAATATATGACACTTTGCTAAACTTCCTGAAGTAATAACACCTATCAGAAACTAAAATGATTTACTGTCATAAAAATTAAATTAAGAGTAGTAAAAAACACTGAACCAAGTAAACTAGAACCCAACTATAATAACTAAGTTCCCTAAAATATAGTAGTTTCTTAAGTGAAAACGGGCAAGAGCTTACTGCAAACATTAAGGGTTTTTTTTTTTTTTTGTTATTGTTTTTTGTTTGTCGGTTTGTTTGCGGCTTGAACTCTGGGCCTTGGCGTTGTCCCTCAGCTCTTCAGCTCAAGGCTAGCACCCTACCACTTGAGCCACAGCGCCACTTCCAGCTTTTTCTACTTATGTGGTGCTGAGGAATCGAACCCAGGGACTCATGCATGAGAGGCAAGCACTCTACCTCTGAGCCACCTTCCCAGCCCTTAACTGTTGTTTCTGAACCAGCACAAAAGGCACCTGAACCAATTTTTGTCTTGAGGTGGAGGTCGGGGATAGGAGCGGTTTGCTGAATTCAGGGCCTGGGCACTGTCCCACACTTTTTGTGCCCAAGGCTAGTACTATATCACTTTGACCCCCAGCTCTACTTTCAGCTTTTTTGGTAGTTAATTGGTAATGAGTTCTTATGGACTTTCCTGCCTGAGCTGGCTTCAAACGGTGATCCTTGGATCTCAGCCTTCTGAGTGGCTAGAATTACAGGCCCAAAGCCACTAGCACTAGGCCTGATTTACTTTAAACATTAAAACATATTAGAAGATTGTTATGGTGGCTCACATCTGTAATCCTAGCTACTCAGAGGTGAAGATCAGAGGAACAGAGTTTGAGGCCAGCCTATGCAAAAAGTTAGCGAGGCCACATCTCAATCAACAAGCTGTGATGGTGATGTGTGTTTTTAGATACTCAGAAGCTTAAGTAGGAAGATTGTAGTCCAAAGCTATGAACAGGCATAAATAACATGAGCCCCCTTCCAAAAAGTAATTAAAGCAAATAGGGCTGGTGATATGGCTGAATGCCTACCTAGTAATCCTGAGGCTCTGAGTTCAAACTCCAGTAGTATCAAAAACTAAAAATAAAAACAAGCTTCCTAAAAGACCTCAATGTAGAAATATGAGAACTCTAAGATTTCTAAGTGACAAAGGGAAAAATGTAATGCTGAATTTACTTACTTGCTTGATACTTTATTTGGCTCCCAAAACCTGGACTTTTTGACACTAAACCATGGAAAAACTCTTTCCATTTGCTGAAAGAAAACCAACAAAAAGTAAACATGTGAAACAAATAACTTCCCATCAGTATCTCTGTCAGTATTGGTACTGATTTTAGGCTACCAAAGCCTAAAAGATCTATCTACTCTGACAACCTGACTAACTCCTACCAAAGAATAGGAGAATCTAATTAAAACGAAGATGTTTTATACATGGGACAAAGCAAACAACAAAAGAAAACAAGTCAATGTGTTCCTGAGTTACTGCTCATAGGTAAGCATTACAAATATGAACTATAGCCAGACATTACAGGATCACATCTGTAATCCTAGCTACTCAGAAGGTTCAGATCTGAGGATCATGGTTCAAAGCCAGCCTGGGCAGGCAGGAAAGTCCATGAAACTCTTATCTTTAATTAACCAGCAAACAAACAAAAAAAAACCCAAAAGCTGAAAATGGAGTTAGAGTGTTAGCTTCGAGCAAAAAAGTTCAAAGATAGCTCTCAGGCTCTGAGTTCAAGCCTTAGGACCAATACAAAAGAGAGAGAAAGAAAATTTACCCGGATAAAGAAGGACTTGACCATGCTGTTGGCTTTTTTAATCTCTGGCTGCCCCCCATCGGAATTAATGGCTGCTTGAATGATCTTTACAATATCATCACTGAACTCCAACTGTGTGCAAAAACAAAAGTCCAATTATCCATAAGATAATCAAGGTAATTTATAAAACAATTCCTGACACTCATGTGACACTCTTGCCTACTTAGTCATCCAACATATCACATCCTATTTTAAATAATGTCATTTCTCTTTGGCTGAGGCCTTCAGAATTCTGTACACAATTAACTTGCGGCAATCTGGAGATGCAGGTTAATAAGGCAAAAATGCAAACAAATTAACTTGATCATGCTAAGGTAGCCAAACAGGTTCATAATTTTTCATCTGGACTAACATAAACACGGAGTAGCAAATGCAGACCACATATAGTAAATGACCATTTCCTATATATTTGTTCCCTCTGTGCATTTTTAACATCATAAAATTAAAAGCATCTAGTTACAAATGAATAAAGTCAGATCCAAGCTCCAAAGAGGAGGATGAATTAACTACACATTCTCATTTACCCTAAATTAGCTAGTGTCCCCTCTTCATGTAAAAATAATTTTCAGAGAATTCAGATAAAAGCCAAATAAAATAGAGAGATTATCCTATCATAATCCTTCTTCTAAAATACAGAACTAATTCATATATATATATATATTTAGTGTGCATATGTAAATAAATATATACATATTTAGGTATCTCAAGCTATGTGACATTTCTAAATACAATTCCAATTATTTTCTTTTTAATACTTTTAATGGTTATTTTTCCTTTATTAATTTTCTGTGTATGTGGTACCAAGGGATTGAACCCAGGGCCTCATGCATGTTAGGCAAGCACTCTACCACTAAGCCACATTCCTTGTCTAATTCTAATTATTTTCAAATTTACTTATAAGCAGCTTCATTCCCCAAAGATTCAAGGAAGTGAAGCGGGTGCCTAAAACTTTGGTGGCTTGCTATAGAGACATACCACAGATGTGTAGTTGCCCTGGTCCATTTTCCTCTTGACTCCTTCCAGGTCTAAAGGCTGCTGCTCATCCTGCTTGCTGACCTCAGTAAGCACAGGAGGATCCGGGCCCTCCGGGGAGCTGCGGGAAGGTATGCTCTCCTCCGTCTCAGGGTTTAAGTCTGGAGGCTTGGCAGCCTGTTGCCAAGAAAGATGTTCTTTTATCTAACACTAAAAATGTGGCCTTTATGCAAACCCTATTAACATGGTAAAAGTCCCACTATAAGATACAAAGAACATGATAATAAGCAGAAATTTCTTTAGAAAGAAAAGTTAAAACAAGCCTATGATCTAATAGCTGGCTAGGGTAGGTAGGAACTTAGAAACTTTGCTTGATAATTTCCAAAAGTAGTATGAAAGAAAACGGTGAGCAACAATTTTTCCTATTAAAAAAAAATGGGCCAGGTACCGGTGGCTCACACCTATAATCCTAGCTACACTGGAGGCTGAGATCTGGAGATTGCGGTTGAAAGCCAACTCGGGCAGAGAAGTCCATGAAACTCTTATCTCCAATAAACCACCAGAAAACTGGAAGTGGTGCTGTGGCTCAAATGGTAGAGTGCTCACCTTGAGCTGAAGAGCTGAGGGATAGTACCCAGCCCCAGAGTTCAAACACAACCGACCAAAACAAGCAAACAATAAAAAGATAGTTTTATTTATTTACTTTTTTGCCAGTCCTAGGGGTTGAACTCAGGGCCTAGGCACTGTCCCTGCGCTTCTTTTGCTCAAGGCTAATACTCTACCACTTCTAGCTTTCTCTGTTTATGCGGTACTGAGGAATCAAATCCAGGGTTTCATGTATGCTAGGCATGCACTCTACCATTAACTGTAGTTTTCTTAAAAGACAGAATAGCAGCCTATCTCTATTCTAGGTAGTTCTGAGATTATATATACCTAGTATTCACAACTTACATGGTCAGCTTTAAGCTGACCACCATTAACTGCCGCCCAATGACTGGTCCTGACTCTAGGGTCAGTTCTTGCTAACCTCTGCAGGCCAGTGAGAGTAATTGCGTGTGTGAGTGTATGTGTGTACATGCGTGTATGAGTGTGTGCATGTACACATGCCAGTCCCGGGACTTGAACTCAGGGCCTGAATGCTGTCCCTGAGCTTCTTTATGCTCAAGGCTAGTGCTTTCTCACTTGTGCCATAGTTCCACTCCCAAAAACTTCTTGGTAATTTCTTGGAGGGAGGTAAGTCTCATGGACTTTCCTGTCTGGGCTGGCTTCAAAAACTGTGACCCTCAGTTTAGCTTCCTAAGTGGCTATGATCACAGGTGTGAGCCACTGGTGCCCAGCAAGAGTTAACTTTATTGCTAAAGAGCAACTCTGATCGGGTCACTCTCCTGGATGAAGTCCTTCACTGGCTCCGCATCACTTGCAGGGTGAGCAGAAAAGTTGCTATTTCTCATAGCAATGCATCCTTTGAACATATAGTCCCTTCCTATGTCCGACTCCTGAGAAGGAGGTTGGCTCTAAAAACTTCCCGAAACAAGATTATAAAGCTAAAGCTGTAAACAAAACAAACTACCAAAAACCAAACCCTGTTCCATTATTAAAGTGAAAACTAAGAATGAGCTCTTAGGGAATTCAGCCTACCTGCCGGTAGCGTAGCAAGTGACTGGTAGTCCGGGAATTCAACAAGGCGGTCAAAACTTGCTTTAGAGAAAGCTGAAGCTCTTTTTCTAGGGCCAGCCGCCACTCTGCAGGGTGCCGCTCAGTACAGTTGACACAAGTGTAGGCCACACTTTCTGGCAGATTGGATAGAATCTCATACATCTCATCTAGAAAAGCAAAAGCCTACAATGATGGGTCCTCTAAGAGCGGAGGGAGGGAGAAGTCGGTAGTCGACTTTGACCTGACCCTGAGCTGCATGGGGTCGCCCGTCCTGCTCTCATGCCGGGAGTCACTAGCCAGCACTAGCCCTGGCTTTGGTGAAGGGAGACCCCAAGGTCCCAGTGCCTTTCCACAATGGACAAGAACTACAGGGATGTGTTCAGGTGAAATGAGCCCGAGCCTACATGCTGCTTATTCTAGAGACTACACTATACGTGGAAAATAACTTCCGAGCAGCGCTAGTCTGAGGGGGATAGGGCTCTGGGGACTTTAAGTGCAGCAATACCTAGGAGAAAAGAAATGGTTACAAAAAAAAAAAAGAGTCCAACCTTCTGTACCTGAAAGGTTCTCGCACTTGGAGTGGACCCAGCGGTCGCAGCGCCCGCACTGCATCATCTTACTCTCGTAGTCGTCGTCGTCATAGCACTTGTCACACAGAGGGCAGAAGTTTCCTGAAACAAGGCAACGCTGGCCTGGGCTGGGGCCCCGCACCTGGGCCCCTCACGCCCTCCACTTGAAGTGGGCCCCTGGCAACCTAACGACAAGCCGCCCCCTTCGCAAGTCACGGCGAATGCCAAAACGGCTCCGTGCTGGCTTCACACACCGCCGACAAGCGCACTCTGCACTCCTAGAATTCTCAGAGAAGACTGCACCCCGGCGCCTCCTCTCTACACGACCACATCAGAAGACAGATTAACGTAACAGAGAAAGGGCAGAAGAGTGAACATTCCAAAGTGATGTTGAGCTTCTAAGCAACTCGGAGCACTGCTTTCTAAAATCCAGTCCTCCATCCATCCGTCTCCAGTTTGCCTTATCCATGAATCCCCTCCATCACTCTTTTCCCTTTGGTGCCAGTAGTAGGGCTTGAACTCAAGGCCAAACACTCTCACTTGGCTTTTTAAGTTTATATTGGGTATGCTATGATTTAAGGCATGCTTCCACTTGTAGCTTTTTGCAGGGGCAAGAGTCTCTTAGATTTGTCTATCAGAGGTAGCTTTAAAACTCAATCTTCAGATCTCAGCCTCTTGAATAGCAAGGATTATAGGTGTGAGCCACTAGTACTCAGCTTCCTCTGTTACTTCCTCTTCTTCTGTTGGTCATGGGACTTGAACTCGGGGCCTGGGTGCTATCTTGAGCTTTTCTGTTCAAGGATAGCACTCTACCACTTTAAGGCACAGTGCCACTTCTAGTTTTCTGATGGTTAACTGGAGATAAGAATCTCACAGACTTTCCTGCACGATCCTCAGTAGCTAGGATTACAGGTGTGAGCTACCAGCACCTGGCTCCCTCTGTTATTTCTTAATAGACTTAAGCTGATCTGCCGATTTCATACACAGTAAATTAGAGCTGGCCGTGTGTCACAGCTCTGATAGCCTAGCCCTCAGAAAGGTGAAGGAGGAATGCCATGAGTGCCAGGCCCGCATGGTCTACCTAGTGAGATTGCAGCTCAAAACACCTGTTACTTGGACTGGGAATGTGGCTTAGTGGTAGAGTGCTTGCCTAGCATGCATGAAGCCCTGGGTTCAATTCCTCAGTACCACATAAGCATAATATTAATTAAAATTATTTTTAAAAAAAGATACTCAGTAGATGGAGAATGTTAGAATCATTACTTATAGCCTGATTGAGAAAACTGTTAGCAAGACTCTCATCTCAATAGACAAGTTGAGTGTGGTGGGACATGCTTGTAATCTTAGCTATTCAGGAGCATATGTAGGGGGATCACCACCTGAGACTGGCCTGGGCAGATCCTGAGGCCCTGGGTTCCAGTCCTCAGCACCACATAAGCAAAAAGAAAAAAACTGGAAGTGGCACTGTGGCTCAAGTGGCAGAGCGCTAACCTTGAGCTGAAGAGCTGAGGGACAGCACCCAGACCCAGAGTTCAGTCCCCACGACCGGACCCAAAAAAAAAAAAAAAAGCGAGGGTGGAGGGGGGAGCCGGGCATCAGTGGCTCATGCCTATAATCCTAGCTAGTCAGGAGGCTGAGATGTGAGACTCTTATCTCCAATAAACCACTCAGAAAACTGGAAGTAGCACTGTGGCTCAAGTGGTAGAGCACTCACCTTGAGCTGAAGAGGTGAGGGACAGCGCCCAGGCCCAGGGTTCAAGCCCCACAAATGACAAAAGAAAGGCTAGGAAGGGGGTGGTGGTGGCTTGGAATGTGGCTAAATGGTAGAGTGCTTGCCATGTGTGATGAAGCTCTGGTTTCGATTCCTCAGTACCACATAAAAAAAGCCGGAAATAGCACTATATAGCTCAAGTGGTAGAGTACTAGTCTTGTGTAAAAGCAGTTCAGGGATAGTGCCTAGGCCCTGAGTTCAAGCCCCAAGACTGGTGGGGAAAAAAAAGTCTAGAAACATGACTCAGGTGGTAGAGACTTGCCTAGCAAAGTGGAAAGCCCTGACTCAAGTTGAGTTCCAGTACTGGGAAAATAAACTAACCAAAAATCTTACTGGTGATTTCACACCATCATTAAGAAAATGTGCATAATGTATTAATTAGAACTTTTGGTGTAATTAAAATAAAATGTCGGAGTATCACCTAAAGTTATCTCTGAACCAACTGTATATGCATCACATTTTGGCTTACTGGCTCAGAGAACTCATTTGCACTTAGCTGTAATGAGAATTTCCCAATTCTTCCTATTAAAGATAACAAAACATTCCCAGTTGCTAATAGTTTGGGCAAAAGAAAGAACTGCTGTAGCCGTGTCTACATGGCCTCCTTGGCCGAACAAGCGAGACTTGTCCTCCATCCTCCTGCAGGGGGCAGTGTGGACCAACTGGCTTTCTGGAGTACCTTTAGCGAAGAGTTTGGCACAGTCATGGCACAGTGAGAAGTCGTGGGACCACTGTGCATCCCATCCTTTGCCTGGAGTTGTAGAGCCGCAGCTCTTGCAGCGAACGCACTTCGTACAGATCTGCAAAGGAAGAAAAGAAACCCACGAGGAATTTCTTAGTTTAATACCCTTCCTTATTTAAAAGATCTCAAGTGAACGAACTAGATTTGATTTCTTTGCTGAAACAATGTTTGCTAACAAGGTGAATGCCGACGTCCTGAAACAAGTACTCTCTGACAAGTTATGCCCTCCCGGCCCACCCTGGCCAATGCGAGTGGCTCACCCAAACTTTCTTTTTCTTCGTGGGTTTGGTGGGGTAGTTTGGTCCCAGGCACTCAGGGTGGTAGCTGTTTCGGCACTTATTACATTCCAGCAGCTGCTGCAGGAAAATGGGATGTGAGCACAGCACGTCATTTCTCCTCCTCAGAAGGGCAGCAATTCCGTTACGCACCTCTCACTCCCAACCAATACAGAGAGATTTATTTCCTGTTCAAGGGACTCCTTGTGAAGTAATTTTACCATATTTGTTATGTTTTCTGTTCTACGTTGAAAATTAAAAACAAAATCATGCCAACAAAAAGAGTACCCACTTAAATAGTGGGGAAAAAAAAGAAGTCGACAAAGAAAGTAACAGATGTAAACCCTCAGAAGGCGGAGAACAGAGAGACAGCTCCGTTACTTAGTGCTGTACCTTCGCAGCCTGATGCTGCCTGCCACACACATGGCAGAACTTGCAGCGACGACAACACCAGTTTTCCAGCTGGTCCTCCAGAGGGCGCTCGTTTTCCTCTAAACAAAACTTGTGGAAGGGTTCACAACACACTTGGCAGTACACAAACTGTATCAAGAAGAGAACACAGAGATGTGTCAAATAACATGTAGAAAAAAATACTAACTACAAATACTTTTGAGTTTTATGAGTCCACTCCTCTATGCAGGGTGAGAATTTATCATGACAATCTGAAATCCAAAATGCTCCAAAATCCGAAACCCTTTAAGTGCTGACATGATGCCTCTTGGCTCAATGTACAAACTGTGTTCCTTGAATCAAACTACCTTCAGGCTATATGTATAAATCATATATGAAACAAATGAGTTTCATGGATAGCCTTGGGTCCCAACCCCAAGGTATCTCATTATGGCTACGCAAATATTCCAAAGCTTCAAAAATCCAAAAACAAAAAACAAAAACCAACTAAAAATACTCTCAAGTATTTCAGAGGAGGAAGGGATATAACACTAGTGCCAAAAAGTGCCAAAAAGAAACAAATGAAATGCAGTAACCCTAAGACATAACCGAGTGGTACAACACTCCAGAAGCTGAGGAAGAGCAGAGTTCAAAGCCAGCTTGGACTACATAGAGAGACCTCTGTCTCAAAAAAAAAAAGGATTTAACACAATGTGCTAAGTACCATAAGAGAGCTTATAAACAAAGATGTAAGCCGGGCAACCAGTGGCTCATGCCTATAATCCTAGCTACACAGGAGGCTGAGATCTGAAGATGGCATTTCAAAGCCAACACAGGAAAGTCTGTGAGACTCTTATCTCCATTAAACCACTCAGAAAACTGAAGGGGTGCAGTGGCTCAACTGGTTGAGTGCTAGCCTTGAGCTGAAGAGGTTAGGGGACAGTGTTCAGGCCCAGAGTTCAAGTCCCATAACTGACAAAAAACAACAACAACAAAAATAAAAAAAACAAACAAAAAGCAAAGACGTAAATGGGAACAGAATATAAAGGAGTTAGGAAAGAAAAATCAGCAGGGATTTAAATGTTGCTTTTTGCTCTGTGTTTTTACAATATATTAACAGTTATAAGCTGTTATCTTTTCTTAAGTAAGTTATTTTCATATTAACCCAGGCTTTCATACTAACACACTAATACTGACAACTACCACTTCTGCATTGAGTCCATTTCTACATTTTTATCATCAGAAGGACAAATCACCCCCTCAACACCATGTTTTTATTTCTCATTTTGTGGATGATCTATTTCTTTTACCCGTTTTTTTTTTTATTGGATATGTGCCTTATTAATTGCTTACAGATTTTTTATACATAAAAGATCTTTGGTATTCAATATAAAATAACTTAAAAGCATCTCTTTTTATAGAGGAATACTACTGCTTTAATTTTTCTTTTCAATATCCAAACATGGATATTGAAAAGAAAAATTAGGACTCTAATAAAAGATTGAATTTAAGAGATGAGACTACCCAGTACTATGAAATTTCTTAAAAATTAAAAATTAACTGGTTTAAATGAGGCTAGTACCTGCTAAATACTAACGAAAAGAATACTATCTCACTCACCCACCTCAGCCACCTACATTTCCCTCGTCGAGGGTTCGAAGAAGCAAGATCCCTTACCTCTACGTGCCCACTACTGGCACAGAGAAAGCAAACGACTCTAGGTGTTATAGGAACAGAGGTCAAGATTCCTAAGCCTCCCATCTCCCACACGTTTTCTGCTTCACAATCCTCCTATGAAGAGAGAAAGATCACTTAATGAAAGCTTGACACTGACAAAATGAGGATAAAAAGCAGAAAATCAGAGTGATACCTCAATACCATATTTTGAACAAGTCCAAAAAAAATTTACTATCAGACATAAACTAGTAAAAGGCTCAACTATGAGTTTGATTTCTGCTAAATAGATGACAAAGTTTAGAGTGGGATTGGATCTCCTGATCTCAGTGGGACAGAGATTTCCTCAGCCACCACTCAGCCTGGCTGTGGCCTCCACTCTGCTCCCACAGGGAACTCAGCTCTGACTGCAGGCCTCTCAGCCCTGAGCCCATCTGAGAGCTGCACTTCTTAATCATCCCACTGCTTGGTGCTCATCGTGTGCTTCAACACCTTTAGTAGCACCTTTTTGTAACAAAACACAACAAAACAAAAAACTAGGCACCAGGCGCCAGTGACTCATGCCTGTAATCCTAGCTACTGAGGAGGCTGAGATCCGAGGATTGTGGTTAAAAACCATCTGGGGCAGTAAAGTCCGTGAGACTGTCATCTCCAATTAACCACCAAAAATAAGCTGGAAGCAGAGCTGTGGCTCAAGTGGTAGAGCACTATTCTTGAGCTAAATAACCTCAGGGACAGTGCCCAGGCCCTGACTGCAAGTCCCGGACTGGCAAAACCAAACCAAACCCCACAAAAACCAAATTTCATTTAAAGGCTGCGACACTCGTTGAAATGCACGATCATTGAACATTTTTTAACTGTACTTTTTTTGTCCTTTATTTATCTAGTTATTTTGGTACTGGGGAGCAAACCCAGGACACTGCACTTGCTAGGCAAGCGCTGTGCCACTGAGCTACATCTCAAGCCTCACTGAACATTTTTACCTTAAAGTCCACTCTGATCCTGTGGACTCCATCTGCTGGGACTTTCTGCTTAGAACTATTGCCATTGGAGAGGGCGCTGAGGATGTTCAAAGTGCCTGCACTCTCCTGCTTATTAACTGGAGGTGGTTTTTCCTAAGGAGACAAGATAGAGAAAAAGCCACACTCTACCTGCCTTCATGTTTGAAGAGTCTTAAGCGCTCTGTCCATAATAAATACAGTGGGCATAGGTACGGGTGGCTTTTATAGGCAAGTATTATACTAAAGGATGTGAGGGCAGAACACGGTTATACCACATGGCCGATAGAATACACTAGGCTACAACACAAGGGCCCAAGAAGAAAGAGAAAAGCAACAAAGGAAAAGACATCAGAAAAGACCATGGGTAAAGCCTAAACCTTTAATTTACTCATTTCAACAAGTTCCGCTGTCATGACACAGAGGCCGTGTGCAGCTCCACGCCACGTGGAAGCCAAGGACAAGGCTTTCGCGACAGACGGCACACACATGAGAAATGGAGACAAACACAGGGCTCCTCACCTTTTCTTTGGGTTTTTGTTTTACAGGGATACTTGGGCGGGGAGCCACTTTTTTCTGCTTGCTCTGCTCTGGACCTGAAGAATTCAAAGTAGATTGCATCAGATGATGGCAAGTTTAGGACTGGCTGGCCAGTGAAGAGAGGGACATTAGAAAACACCACAACTCTAGCTTCCAGTAGGAAATTAAGGCCATATTTGGGCTGGGATGTGGTTCAGGGGAACAGTGCATGTCCAACACTCACAGGCCCTGGGTGTGATCTCCAGAACCCCGCCCCACGTGTGCCCCCCTACACACACACAGGAAAAAAGAAAAAAAAAAGAATTTAAGGTAATTATCACCAAGTTTTTGTTTTGTTCCTATTTGTTATTCCGGAGTAGTTAAAAAGAGAGTTCATTTTCTTGAACTGGAGACAGACAATTCAGGTTCTGACCGACACGTGGGACAGCAGCGCTTCTTTCTAGCTCCTGTGGCTCAGCCATCCTCCTGCTCTCCTCGCTCACCTGATTCCGGTGGTGGCGGCTGCTTTTTCTTGGGTTCACTTGGCGTGGTCTTAGGAGCCTCTTTTCTCGTGGGTCCCGTGGTGGGTGGCTGAGGGGGGGCGGCTGGCGCCGGCTGGGAGAGTTGTTTGCTGGACTTCCTGGAAGCTGGGGTGGTGGCCTGCTTGGGTTCGGGTGCTGGGATGGGGGCGTGACCTTCTTCACTCTTTTCTTCCGCGGGCTTCCGGGCAGGAGGCTCACTGTTGCTCTTCTTCGGGGCCGGATCCTCGCGTGCTGCTGGAGCAGGTTTCTGACTCGAGTCCACCAAGTTCTTCACAACAGTGCTCTCCTTGCTCTCCTTCTTTTCGCTGGTCTTAGACTTTTTCTCTTTCTTTTTCACAGCTTGGGGAAAACAAACAAGAAGACTATGTTTTGTAAGTGAGAAAAATTTTTAATTAAAATAGAAGTATAGAAATATATCATAATCTTATTCATGGTTTCCTACAAGTCAGGAAAATTAATGCTGAGCTGATCGGGTGGGCAGATATGGTAAACAAGTTGAGCAGGTATACTCCTATTGCTCTAGGAAAAAGGGTGAAATAAACTTTACATGAGCTTTGAAAAAGGTTTTGAGATGGAAATGATTAAACAAGAGTCAGATGAACCCTGTGTCCCTATCATCCAGCTTCAACCACCACCAACTCCCTGGGAAAAAGCAGTATTTTAAAAGAAAAACCAAACCAAACCAAACCCCTAATATGCTCTTTACATGGAGTATGCACAAGTGAAGGAGATGAAAGCAGGAAGGGTTCTGGGGAGACGGCTGTGCCGCTACCTTTAGCTTGCTTCTGAAGGTAGGCCTTGGAGGGCATCCACTGGAGATTCTGGCATTTTCTCATCCTAGGGTAACAAGGGGAAAACCGTAATGTCAGTTGCATTTAAAAGAGAAGCAACCAGGACAAGCATTCATCTGTGTGATGATCATTTCAGGTTCACTTCGAGGGCTAGAACAAGGACAGTTTATTACATCTGAGCCTTTGGAAACCTGGGTCAGCAATTTTACCTACCTGTAGGCTAAAAGAAGCAAATATAAAATCATTTTTGAAATGGGACTCAAGTTTCTTTTTTTTTTTTTTTTTGTCGATCATGTGGCTTGAACTTTGAGCCCTGAGCTCTTCAGCTCAAGGCTAGAGAGCACTCTACCACTTGAGTTACAGTGCCACTTCCAGTTTTCTGGTGGTTTACTGAAGATAAGAGTTTCATGGACTTTCCTGCCCTGGCTGGCTTTGAACCACGATCCTCAGACCTCGGCCTCCTGAGTAGCTAGGATTATATGCATGAGCCACCGGCGCCCAACTTTCAAGTTTCTTTTAACTCAATACTGACTAACACTACATCCGAAATGATCAGTGAACATTTCTTGAAGCAAAATGAGCTGCTGCCTTATAAGATATTTAATATCTGGTGTTTACCCCAAAATAGACAAAAGTCATCACAGTCCCTTGTCACCACTACAGTGCTACAGGTGTATCTTGTGGCTTTGATATGTTCCACCACTCAATTTGAATTTAATGAAACTCAAAATTAATTTGAAGTCTAAAGTTGCATTGACTCTATTGTAGGCCCTAACTTCAGTGCAATTTGATCTTACTCTCGTGGGTCTTTTGGAATTATGTGATTCTTTTACTTCTTGCTACTACTGGGTCTGAGATAAGATTAAGGGTTAGAGCAACGAAGCATACGAGTACTTTTCTCCGCGAAACTGTCTCTCCTGAAGAACTGCAGTGTTTCTGCTGCTGATGCCTTATGTTAAGTTATTGTAACATCATTCATTTGCTCATTCAGTAAGCATCTATTTCTTTTTTTTTGGTCAGTCATGGGGCTTGAACTCTGGGCCTGGGCACTGTCCCTCAGCACTTCAGCTCAAGGCAAGCACTCTACCACTTGAGCCACAGCACCACTTCCCGTTTTCTGGTAGTTAATTGGAGGTAAGAGTCTCACAGACTTTCCTGCTGCCTCCTGAGTGGGTAGGATTACAGGCCCAGCTAAAGCATCTATTTCTTATACCAGGCACTTGGCAAAATGCTTGACTGCCAAAATATGTTTACATAATTCAATTTTAAACAAACCATCCCAAAAGGCAGAAGGTATACCCATGAACTGACTGAAAGGGAAGAAAAGGCAAAGTATTAAAAAGATTTTTTTCTCTCAAAAATTCCTCATGCATGAAAAGATTCCCAAAGAGTCATAAAGTACAGATTTAGGAAAGATGTCTCTTAAGTTTCCTGGCATGCATAAAGATGAGTGATTGCAGTAGACCCCATTAAATACTATGCCTACATCTGTCAGGCTTTAAGTAGAATCCCTTCAGTGCTGCACTGACTGATAGGGTAGTCACTAGTCACATGTAATTAAGTCCAAATTAATTGAAACAGAAAATGTAGTTCCTTAGCCACATTCACCACCTGGCCAAGCGCTCAAGAGCCACATGTGACTAATGACTGACACAGCCAACTGAGCTCCTCGGGATGTTTCTACTATTGTAAAATGTGCTACAGGGCAGCACTGCTCCCGAGTATTTCTTACTTAAGTACATCGCAAAATTCCAGTCTACAATTAATCTTGCAGCCAAAGAGACTCAAGGCAACTCTGGTCTCCTTATCTGTCTCTACAGCAAAGCAGAGATGAAGCAGCAGCCTTCGTGCCTGCAAGGCCGGCGCTGCTGAAGATGCCACTCACTTGCAGCACTGCTTCTTTATGTTGCGGCCACCAAACTTGGGCTTGTCTAAGCAATTAGTGCACACACCACAGTCCTCAGGCACCTGGCAGCCAGGACACTGCCCACAGCGCCTTGACCGCCGTCCCTTCTTCACTGGAGGTTCCTGAGGCGCCTTGTTTCTGGTGACAGGCTTAATTGGTTTGATGGGTGGAGCAAGAGGTTCAGCATCTTCAGAGCCAGCAATTGATGACTTGTCTGTCAAAGAAATGTGTCATTAGGTTTCAAGGGAATCTCTAATCCCTTCCTGAGGAATAGAGGGGGAAGGCCTCAAAAGTTATTCAGTCAAATTTCATTTAATTGGTAGAACTTGGATGTTTTTCCTTTTATTGGAATTAGGGTCTCAACTCTACTACTCAAGCTATGTCTCATTATTTTCTTTTATCAGATAGGGCACTGTAATTTTTGTCTAGGATAGTCTCACACCTATACCTATACCCTCCTACCTATACATCCCAAGTAGCTGGGATAGTAGCCATGTGCCACCACACTCAGCTTATTCTTTGAGAGTCTCCTTACCTTTCTGCCTCACTGGCCTCAAACTACTGTAATCTTCCCATCTCCACCTCCCTGGTAGCTAGGACTATAGATATAAGCCACCATACCAGCCAGAACTCAAGATTTTTTATTTATTTTTTTTGCCGACTCTGGGGCTTGAACTCTAGGCCTTGGTGTTGTCCCTGGGATCCTTTTGCTCAAGGCTAGCACTCTACCACTTGAGCCACAGTGCCACTTCCAACATTTTCTGTGATTAATTGGAGATAAAAGATTCTCTTGGACTCGGCTGGCTTCGAACCACAATCCTCAGTTCTCAGTCTCCTGAGCCCTAGGATTACAGGTAGGAGCCACCAGTGCCCAGCTTAGAAATCATTAAAGTAACTACTTAAATGCTTTTAAATGCCTGTAATTGCAGCCTAATGAAAATTAAAAAATCTAACCTAAAATTTCAAAGAAACCATGAACTATATACATCTAAGGATTCTCTAAACCCCTAAAGTCATTAAGGGTAGGTACCCAGCATATTGGAACTACATGGCAGTCATGATAATGTGCCTCACAGATCCCCAAGGCCAAGGCCCCACTCTGAATCTGCTGGTGGAGTGCTTGCCTAGCAAGAGCAAGGCCCTGCGTTCCAACCAGTTCTGCCAAAAAATAAAACCAAAATCCACTGGTGCAACCATGTTCCCTTCTAGACACTGGCTTGGTACAGCAAAGCACTAGGACGGACTTGTTCCTGAGAGACACGAAAGTCTTCTAACAGCCTTGAACTTCTATCCAAGGACCCCCTGACTGCCTTGCAGACCTTCTGCTGTACTGTGGTGGTATCAGAGAGGCTCTTCCCAACTGCCCTTGGATACCTCTCCCTCTCACTTACGGGACTTGCCTCACACGTCATCTCTTCCAGCTATCTAGTTCTTCAAAGACTCAAACTATGAAGAGTCTACCCGGCATTCCCAGAATAGTCAGCACACACAGCAGACGTCTGCTTGCACCCCACGGTTGACCTTGCTGACCTACCATCATTCCCCATGGAAGACAAAATTTTTTCTCGTTCTTCCCACGGTAAGGCACTCAAGGTGGGCATGTCATCAGGAAACACAGCTCGTTTTCGGCCAAGGGCAACAGCAGCTCTTCTGCAGACATGTTTAATCCGGGGTCCTCGCACTGAGGTCTCTGATGAATCACTTTCTTGACCCTAAATGAGGCAGGCCAGAAACAATGACAACCATACACACTGGATATATAATTAAAGGAAGCCAAGGTATACTTGATAGATTTATTATCATCTAGCATCAAACACACATTTCTAGCTATTCTCAGCTCAGCTGATAAGCCACATCAATATATAGAAATAATCTCCCTTGCACCCTAAGATGAGCAGCTCCCAAAAGAAAAAGGCCTCTCATTTTGAAGAAATCCATCCAGTGTGGTGGTTCCCACCTGTAATCTTAGCTAACTTAGGAAGTAGAGAGAAGAGAACCAGGAGTTTGAGGCTAGCATGGGCTGGCAAAATCGTCTCAAAAAACAAAACAAACAAAACACCAAAAACGAAAGGAAACAAAAACCACCCAACCAAGCAAACAAACTAAAAACCAACTAAGCCTTTATCCCAACTGCACTGTTTCTTTCAAATTCCCCTCAAAATTCAAGCTACCAGTCTTTATTACAAAACCAATTTGGTACCAAGGGGCTATTCTAACCACAGACGATTTCCTATTTCCTCAATCAACAAAGTAGTAGTATAAATAACTGGAAATGCTAGTATGTAAGGTGGCAGCTCCAAACAAGTGTCTTACATTTTAAATAACTTCTGCTCCTATCACTAGCCAAAAATACCTCCAAATATCAGTATTTTCAGCATAGATGTGCATCTACTCGATCAACCGGCTTCCCCAGCAAAGGTCAGTGTCCAGCTCCTTTTTTTTTTTTTTGGGGGGGGGGGGGGTCTAGTCGTGGGCCTGAACTCTGGGCCTGGGCGCTGTCCCTCAGCTCTTCAGCTCAAGGCTAGCACTCTACCACTTGAGCCACAGCGCCACTTCTGGCTTTTTTCTTTTTGCTTATGTGGTGCTGAGGAATCGAACCCAGGGCCTCAGGCATGCAAGGCAAGCGCTCTACCACTGAGCCACCTTCCCTCCAGCTCCTTCTTTTGGAGTGGGTTTCTCAAGCTATTTCCCCAGTTCTACTACTTCACTTAAAAATGCTGCTACCGTAAAAACTGTTCAGCATCGTCTCAAGTAACTGAGCTCTTCAGCTTTCTGTTTCTCATTTGTATTCTCACAATATCTACCACCTTTTACCCTATAGTCACCCACTATTCAGAGGCAAAGGATTGCTTCCGTTTTCTCTCCTGTGAAGGACAGTACAAGTGTGTGGCTACACAAACGTGCCCTCACAATGAAATCACAAAAAGACTGCACCAGTCAACCATGGGGCACCAACCACGCTTCCCAGTACGGTTCCAGCCTGTCTTCCAGCTCAGTGTCGCACTGTGCTGTGTGTGTGTGTGTGTGTGTGTGTGTGTGTGTGTGTGTGTGTGTGTGTGTGTGTGTGTGTGTGTGTGTGTGTGTGTGTGTGTGTGTGTGTGTGTGTGTGTGGCCTCAATGCAGCTGCTCGTGTTTCCTCATCCATGCCTCATGCTTTCTCACTGCTGCCTATACATACAACGTTAGGTCCTTGAAGGATACTGCACAACCTCCCCCCAACCCCCCCCCCCCCCCCCCGGGACCTCACCACTCCCTAATTCCCCTAACTATGTATAACTCAAACACATGACCAAACTAAAACCTGCCCACAGAAGAGGCTCAGAGGTTAGGTGAAATGGAGTACCTGTGCTTTGGGCTGGTCGGTCTGTTTAAGACTCTTACTCTTCTCGATCTTGCAGAGCTGGGCTTTGGCCTTTTTTAGGAGGCTGGCAACCCTCTTGTCAGTCATTGGAAGCTTGTCTGCCTGAGCCAACATGGAGCCTATGGAGGAAGTGGAATGTTTAACAGTGCTAGATGAAGGAGTGGAAAGGCAGAGGGCTTTCTCCTTCTCCAGGGACGGGGCAGTTGGGCCGAGGTCCAAGTTGTTTTTTTCCAGATTTCCTCTCCCTTTCTTTATAAGTATTTTGGTTTTGACAGCTGTTGTATCCCCAAGAGTCACAGAAGCAAGATCAGTCCCAGAATCAAGTGATGAAGACTTCTTCCGCCCTGTGGCCTTTTTGGCAGAAGATGAAGTGGCACCATCTTCACCAACAACCTTCTCTTTGGAAACCCGACCCATAGGATACAAAGCCGAACTACTCTGAATTTCTGATCCCTTTTTCCTTTTCTCTTTCCTGGACTCCCGCTTATTCTCCTTCTCTCTCTCCCGGTCTCTCTCTCTACTCTTGTCCTTCTCCACGCTCTTGTCAGCATCTCGGTCTTTGGACAGCTCCTCGGGGGCCTTGTCTTTATTTCTCCCCCTCTCAGTCTGAGAGCCTGGGGTGAACCAAGGGAAGAGAGGAGTGGGACTACTTGATGAAAACGGCTCTGACGACGGAGCGCTAGTCTGCTTCCTTGCTCTCTGGCTTTTCTCTGTAGATTCCCCAGACTGAGTCAGGGAATGAGAAGGAAAAGTAAAAGTTGGGTTTAAGGCACTAGTGGCAAGAGGACTAACAGAAATGCTCAACGAAGAAGAGACAGAAGACGGGGGAGTGAGAGGTGACAGCTCAGAAGTGCTAAGCCTTCCGCTCCTTGTCCTCATGGAGTGAGAAGGAGATCTTGGCTCAGATCGAATAGGACTAAACACTTTCCTTTTTCTTTTCCTATTAGAGACTCCGGAAGAGGACGTCCCAGCAGAAGTTCGATTACTAGGCAAGGTCACGGACTCGAATATTCTAGAGTGTGCCTCACTTGGAGTGAATCTCGGAGCTCTGAGAAGAGGGCTCCTTTTGTGCATATCAAACCTTGTTCCAGAATGGAGTGGGGAGAACAACCGGGCCGAAGCAGCAGTGCCGGATGCAGAGAAACCAGACGCAAAGCCAACGTCCTCAGGAGTTAGTGGAGGGGGGCGGAAATTATCAAATATTGGTTTGCGGATCAGACCTTCTTTGGCATACTTTGCTGAGGAAAAGTATTGTGGCTCTGACCTAGAATGCTTTAACGACGTCCACCTAAACGTAGGCTCTCGCAAAATGGACTTGCGCTTCCCTTGCAGGGAAGCCGCAGAAGCAGGCAAAAACGGTGACGCTAAGGGGATGGTGGGGGGCATGAGCCAAGGGGTGTGGTCAGAGATGCCGGAGGCTGGCTGCAGGGGAGGGGGGGGAGTGAGCAGAGGGGGAGGGGGGGAGGAGGAGGGCTGCTGCTGGGGAGCATTCTGCAGAGCTGACAATTTCTTAGTGGTTCTAGATCCAAAACTCCTCTCTGACACGGAATACCTTCTGCTTCTCCTCTCACTGCTCTCGTTCTCGGGGGGACTGGGAAACAGGCAGTGGGGTGTGAACTTCAGGGGTGTCACTGCGCTCTTCAGGGAGCGCCTGGGCCTCCTCGGAGGCCTGCGAGTCTGTGGTGGTGTCGATGCTGGGACTACTGGAGCGGGAGGAGTCTGAAGACATTTGGGAGGAGTGCTGGGAAGCTGCACTGGACTTTTCAGAAGAGCCGCAGGAAGTGGCACTGAATCTACTATTTGGGGTGGACTCGAGCCGGGCAATTTTGATGGGTGGGTCATAGTCCTCGTCCTCGATGAAGCGCCGGGGCGTCTTGATGATCCTCGAGGAGATGGCGCTGACCACGGGCATGATGAACTGGCGGATGTTTTTCACCTGCGTCTTCACCTTTCTTCCTTGCAACTGAGCCGCTTCTTTTTCGATTTTCTTTTGAGCCCCCTTCTTGGCCCTCTGCAAGAGCTGCTTAGCGATTGTCGCATCGGTCCTTTTAGAAGAAGGAATAATCCTGACTGGCTTAATCCTTCGGGGGCTTTGCCTGACAACTGTCTTGTCTTCTTTCGGGAGTGGAGGGGTGCCTTCCTTGTCCTTGCGGACCTTCTGGGGCTTTTCCAGTTCGGAGCTGAGGAGGAGACCTGAAGGGGTCTTTATCCGCTCTGTGGATGGAGGCCGTCCTCGCCGGCGAACGATCTGTACCCCTTTCCTTCCTATTTGAAGCTTCCCTGTCTTAAACTTAGACTTGAGAGGAGAGAGTTTACCTGCTCTTAGTTTTTTAATCTTTGTGGCTTGCTGAAACATCGCAGAAGGTGTCCGTTTAATTTTCTTTAGGCTATCTTCTCTGTTCCCCTTTGGCAGCTCTGAAATGTCTTTTCCGTGTGTTATTTTGATTTTTACTCCAGGGAAGGTGGGTGGTCTTCCTCTCTTCTTCTCTATGCTTTTAGAATCTTTCTTCTTGATCTTATCTCCAGATTTGGTCTCTGATTTACTTAGAGGGGAAAACACAGATGGGTCTGGGAGGATAGCTGAATTTCGGTCAGAGCCACTTCTAGGTCTCCCACGAGGTTTTCGAGGACTAGTTTTAACTGTGTATAGAAATTAAACAATGAAGAGCATATATTTAGCCGTGTAGTTCAGGTCTTAGCGAAACTGAATATAATTTAGCACAGGCCGTTCTGTTCTGAACTCAATTTGGGTCTACTGAGTCAATACATCTTAATTGTGCTTAGTTTCTTTTCACCAAAATTTTTCCTCCAAGAAAGCAAGTTAAATAACATTCCACCTGAAAGAACGTTTAATTACTTTTTTGATATAAAAACCAAGATAACAATAAAAAGTTTTCAAATGAGTAAGGAACCTAGAAAACTGATCTTCTTCTCATGTAACTGTAACCCCTCTGTACAGCATCTTTACAATAAAATTTAAAACAATAACAACAACAACAACAACAAAAACCGATGTTCTTACAACCTTAGATGAAGACTTTTTTTTCCCTGAATTCAAAAATACTGCAGTTGCTGTTTTAAGCTGTACTGCCTTGCCCTAGCCATCGAGAGGAACATTTAAGAACATGCTTCTAGGAAGTCATCTCAACTTTTCAGTTTAGAATTCAGTTTAGAACCTGAATAAATTTGAACAACAACAATACCAACTTTCACAGAAAAATGCTCTTGGGCAGCTGAGCTATCTTCAACCTGTTTTACCGAAGGAAACTAACTAAGAAAGTTTTGTTGGCTAGAAAGATATTCATCTATGAGACGAGAGTAAGGCCACTATCATGCCGTCACAGTACCTGGTGAAGAAGGACACAGCGATGTGGGTGCTAACCTGCTCTCTCTCCCCTCTAGGGCTTCTTGAACTAGTCCGTACCAACTTACAGGAAGATGTAACTTGAATAAATGGCAATAGCAAACCAGCAATTTATTAGATCAGATCTCTACTAATCTAAATAAAAGGAGTTGCTTAAAAATTTATACAGCAAACTCAACGTGCCACTCATCAACTTACTCTGTAGCAACAGAGTTACAAAAACAAGGCTATAGCTGGGCACGGGTGGCTCACGCCTGTCATCCTAGCTACTCAGGAGGCTGAGATCTGAGGATCGAGGTTCAAAGCCAGCCCGGGCAGGAAAAGTCTGTGAGACTCTTATCTCCAATGAACCACTAGAAAACCAGAAGTATCGCTGTGGCTCAAGCAGTAGAGCACTCGCCTTGAGCTGAAGAGCTGATGGACAGCACTCAAGCCCAGAGTTCAAGCCCCATGACCAAAAAAACTCCAAAAAACAACAAACGGCTACATCTGCAATCCTCTCATAACTCTGTATGTTTGAAGTAGTTAAGGGCTGCCTATGCTCTATTTTCTCTTTTCTCCCTTTTCAGTATTTCACAGACAACATTCTAACACGAGACCTCCCCCTTCACAGGCACCAGGAGAGATCACAGCCATACAAACACTTTTACCATGGAGTCCCTTTCTAACAGAAATCAACGAAGGTCTTGTTGAGCTTGCTTGCTTGCTTGCTTTTCTTTCTCTTTCTTCCTGTCTGTCTTTCTTTCCCTCCCCCTCCCTCTTTCTTTCTTTGTCAGTCCATGGGGCTTGAACTCTGGGCCTGGACGCTGGCCCTCAGCTCTTCAGCTCAAGGCTAGCGCTCTACCACTTGAGCCACAGCACTACTTCCAGCCTTTTCTGTTTATGTGATACTGAGGAATCGAACCCAGGGCCTCAGGTATGCAAGGCAAGTGCTCTACCACTGAGCCACCTATTGTTGAGCTTTCTAAATATAAATGCATTGCTCAGATAACCTATGAGACTTCCCACACAGCTTAAGGATTTACAAATCCATTCTCAATATATTCTAATCATAACGAATTTAACAGACCAGGAGACAACAGGGAAAATACATTGCATTTCTTAAGTAATGAAGCATATCCAGATGGTTTACAAAAAGAAAAGCATTCAAGGTAAACTGACAAAGCAAAGAAAAACAATAGGACACCATCTTGGAAGAGTCATGAATTCAAAAACTCTTGCATAGAACCCTGGAAGATGCCTTATATTGTGTAGAGTAGAATGGAGCCTCTCAGAGAGCTTTATCATCAATTTTCTCTCTCTTTTTTTTTTTGGGGGGGGGGGGTCGGTCATGGGGTCTGAACTCTGGCCCTGGATGCTGTCCCTTAGCTTTCAGCTCAAGGCTAGCACTCTACCACTTGAGCACAGAGCCACTTCTGACTTTTTCTGCTTATGTGGTGCTGAGGAATAGAACTCAGGGTCTCATGCATGCAAGGCAAGCACTCTACCACTGAGCCACCTTCCCAGCCCTTCTTCTCTACTTTTAAAAACAAGCTTTTGACAGACAAGTTGAAAAAATAAGATAGGTGTTGGTGGCTCGTGTTTTTAATCCTAGCAACTCATGAGACTAAGATCTGAGGATCCTGGTTTGAAGCCAGCCCGGGGCTGGCAATGTGGCTTAGTGGTAGAGTGCTTGCCTAGCCCGCATGAAGCCCTGGGTTCAATTCCTCAGTAGCACATAAACAAAAAAGGCTAGAAGTGGCACTGTGGCTCAAGTGGTAGAGCATAAGCCTTGAACACAGAGAAGCTCAGGGACAGAGTCCATGCCCTTAGTTCAAGCCCCAAGACTGGCAAAAAAAAAAAAAAGCCAGCCCAGGCAGGCAAGTCTCTTCTCTCCAATTAACCACCAAAAAACCCAGAAGGAGAGCTATGGCTCAAGTGGTAGAGTGTTCAGGTACAGCATCCAGACTCTGGGTTCAAGTCCTAGGTTGAAAAAAGAAAAAAAACAAGTAGAAAAAGTAAAATAGAGAAAAAGTGAAAAAGAGAAGGGAACCAGCTCTGCTGTTAGCAGCAACTAAGCACTCAATCCACACCCTGTCCACATCGTTATAAAGATATTTTGTTGCCGTCATTTTGTTTCCTGTAGATGAGGAGTTAGATCAGAGGGTCCCTAAAATCCCCTTTCTGGATTAAGTTTTAAGGTTTATTTATTTATGGCTGTCCTGGGTCTTAAACTCAGGGCTTCATGCTTGCTAGGCATGTGCTCTATCACTTGAGTTTGGACTTCATCACAGCTTAAAGAGACTATTGCCACTATCTAGAGAGCACAGGTGCTCAGACATCACTGGCTAACTCCTCCCAACTAGAATGACAATCCCACTTCCATTTGGGAAACAGAAATGGTCAACTTGAGTGTTTGAATTGTATTACTATACAACGTAACATTTTTAAAAAAATTAAATTACCCACATCAAATCAAGCAGAACCACAGAAGAACCTAGAGTATCTCAAGATAGGGGCTGTTTTTTCCCATAAAAAGGTCTCCAGCCCTCTCCTACACACAGCTACATTAAGTGAACCATCAAATGTTATTTTCATTGAGGGTCTTCAATTAGGAAACTCAAGATGTTCTAGATGTTTTGTTGCTGAGGACAATAACAAATATAAAACACCCCATATAATTTTTAGTTTCTTTATTTTAATACAGCATTTCAAGAGGCAGGTAAAATATAGTACCAATACTTTCATGAAATACCAATATTTTGTTTCTACTTCTTTGACAACAGACCAAATTTCATCTGTAAAAAGTAACGGCCAAATTATTCCTAGAGGCAAAAATACTATCATATAATATATAGAATGTATAAATCTGAGAATGATCTTATCTTCAAGCGTATCAGGCTTCCCAATCATTTGAAAGAAACCTCACTCCTATGCCCAAGTAGGACCAAGAGAAACATACCAATCATACTAAAGCAAACGTGGTCTGACAGAGAAGCACACCCAAAAGACATCTCATTCACAAGCCACCTCTTATGCCCAAGGTGGGCAAACTCCTCCCTCCAAAGCCCCTCTCAATCTCCTAACAAATAAAACTGAAAAGCACATCCTGTGCCCAGTTGCCATACCTGAAGGAGACCTTGTGGGACTTCGCACTCTGACTTCTTCATCTGAGCCAAAACCTAAGAACTGCTCATCCTACAACAAAGGAAAATTATTTTACAATCAGAATCAAGAACATGAATGTGAACAAATCCCAAAGAAATGCCCAGAGGAGACTAATGAATTTGGAAACTTAGCTTATCCATATTAACCATCATCCAAATGGACACTATAAAATAACATAGTAAAATACATGGACCCAGCCATACAGCTTCTATACAAATAGGAGCTGTGTAATAACTTAATTAATACTTTGAAAACTCAATCTTAGTACATAACACAAAGGAATAGTCCTAAATTTTAAACTACAGATACAACCCAAAACAAAGGACAACTTTAATTCAAATAAGCAAATCAGTGTAATGGAAGAAATATACAGCCCCAATAAAACAAATGCTTTTCAATAAGTACTTAAAGCTAAAAATACACAGGGAGTAATATACCTACTAAATATTAACAGAGACTGAAAGGGCTGTAATTGTCAGTTCCTTAAGTCAGGAATTGATACTTAGATGTGATTTCTGTATATCTGATGCAGAGATTCTCCACATGCACTTTATGGCGTCATTTAAAATGCCCTGCGATAAGAGACTTAATGGTGGGCAGCAGCATTGGTGAAAGGAATCATGAACTGACCACACAGGGTGAAATTTTCACTAGTAACAGGGAAGCATCTTTTCAGTTCCACTTGGAAAAGACTGAAGAAAAAAAAAAAAAAAAACATCTCCCTACCTCTAGCTTTTAACCCTACTTTTGCAAAATACAAAAGATTCACTTAACCTTTTTTGGATAAGCACTCAAGAATGATGTTGTACTAAAGCAAGCAGATTAACAGAAATTCACTATTCAAAGTTCTTTCTAGAGATACAGAAAGAGAACTTCAGACTCCAGAAACAAAATCCACATAAAATTAGAACAAAGTAAGGAATGAAGAACAAACTTGCCTGAATCTTAGTTATAACCAAGTTTCAATATTTAAAGCCCACATTTTGCTCTCAGGTGCTAAACTCAAGTGTGGACAATGTCGGTGGATTTTCTGCTGAAGAGTTCTTAGTTAATTTAAAGCTGGAATCAGGGGCTAGTCTGCTTAATCGCTTTTCAATCAGGAATATGGTGAAAGGTAAATGTAAAATTTTAGACAAGTTGTCAAGTTCAATTCTTAAAACTTAAATGTTTTTGAGGGACAAAGTATTTGGGAGCTAGCCTTTGGAAACAATGCAACTGACACAATTCTGTGTGTGTGTGTGTGTGTGTGTGTGTGTGTGTGTGTACTAGAACTTGAACTCAGGGCTTTGGGTTCTCACTTAGCTTTTTTGCTCAAGGATGGTCACACCCCCACTTTTAGCTTTCTGCTGGTTAACTGGAGATAAGATTCTCATAGATATATCTGCTCAAGCTGACTTCAAACCACAATCTTGAGATTTCAGCCTTCAGAGATGCTAAGATTGCAGTGTGAGTGAGCCACTGCCACCCAGTTGCAATTCTTATTATACTCTAAAAATTTATTTTTTTTTCTATAAGAAGAGCAGTGGGTTTGGAAGCAATAAGTCTGGGGCAGCCAATGAGGGCAGTAGTGTGTTTGGGGCAGCCAATGAGGACAGCAGTGGGTGTAGGACAGCCAATGAGAGAGTAGTGGGTGTGAGGCAGCCAATGAAGAGAGCAGTGGGTGTGGGTCCTCAGTTAGCAGAACACTGAATCAGATGCAGGAGTGAGGGGAGCAGTGAACCCCGATGAGGAGAGTGGGTAGGGGACAAGGCTGTTTTTAGTCTCAGTTCCAGTACATTTGGTCTCTATAAGCTTAGGAAAGTTACTATCTTTCTCTCGATACCTTTATTTATTGGAGTATTATACATAGTAAATAAGGTTTGTAAATCATCTGGAAACTCAAAGGTGACATAATCTTATTTTATTGTTCTTATTTCTGTTATGGATGAGATATTAAAGAGGTGCCATGATTTGTTATAAAGAGCCCTTTGTGGGCTGGGAAAGTGGCTCAGTGGTAGAGCGCTTGCCTTGTATGCATGAGGCCCTGGGTTTGATTCCTCAACACCACATAAGCAGAAAAAGCTGGAAGTGGCACTGTAGCTCAAGTGGTAGAGCGCTAGCCTTGAGCTGAAGAGCTGAGGGACAGCGCCCAGGCCCAGAGTTGAGTAGAGGGCCCACAACCGACCAAAAAAAAAAGGGGGGGGGCCCTTTGTTATATGAGCCCATGTATTTAAATTGGGCATATGTATCTTATTATTTATTTATTTATATTGTTTATTCGGGCATTATATAAGAGCCCATATCTAAACTGGGTCTAGGCATTATTGGCGTTCAATAACCTCCCTATCATATTAGTTACAACTTAAAATTATAAATGTTTAAAGGCATCAAATAAATCATCTACAGTACAAAAGTTGCTATTTGATTAAAGCAATGTGATAGCCATTTTTCAGATCATTCAAGTTTCTAATCAAGTCATTTCTCTCCTACATTGTCTTCAACAGGTTAGAACAATGTTCTAATCCATTTCACATATTAACCAACTGAAAAAGTAACTAATGAACAATTTCTAATCTTTATAAGAAATGTAAGAGAAAACAGTTATGTTCATCATCAACAACCCTAGAGGGTTACTTTGTATATTTCTAACTTTCACAAAATATACCTACACAATCCTAACTGCAATGTGTTCTAAAACAACAGAAACAACAAAGTATCACAGAGCTGTCAAGAAGTAATTTAGCTATCAACATTTAAAATTTCCAAGAATTTAAAAAAAAACCTAACAGGAAGCATTATTTGTTTTCCTTCCAGTCTTAGTTGGAGTAAGATTAGAAAAGAAGACATTTTAGAATGAGTAGGAATACAGTGGGAGAAAAAAAAAAAAAGAACTAGACTTCTGCCTAAGATCTTCCTCTTCACTGATGAGTAGGCTGACTTCTTGAAGCATGCTTATTATTTTTTTATTTTTTGTTAATTGATGATAGGGGTCTCACAAACTTATTTGGCCAGACTGGCTTCAGACTGTGATTTTCAGATCTCAGCCTTGTGAATAGCTAGGATTACAGGCGTGAGCCACTGGAAACTAGCTGAAGCTAGCTGAAGCATGTTTTCTTTTCTTTTTTTAAATCAGTTCCTATTATTTAAAAGATGCAGACAGCTTGGCTAAGATCAAAAGAGCTAGCCTTGTAACTCTAAACTTCTATTTTTCCAGAAGAGTTTTACATCTAAGGAATGCCTACTTCCAAAGCACGGGGAAGGAATACTGCAAGAGTGTTCAAAAAAGTTCTAGCTGATGCACCCACTGCATTGCCATCAGCAACCAGCTTCCCTCTGGCTCCATCACTCACTGTAAATGTGTGGGTCACTGGAGAATGTTAACAAAGTAAAAGTCCTGCCTTCCAAAAGATTCAGCCTGGCCTGGAAATCAAAACTTTGACTCTAGTTCTATCTATACATAAAAAAGAAACAAGTCCATGTTTGGCACAGCAGCAACATAAGCCTAGGTAGACCTCAAGAGATAGGCACTCTACACCTGACCCAACAAGTCCTGGGAACTGGGCCCAGTCAGCCATTCTTCACACATGTATTTCCTTTCGATGATGAGCACAGCAGCCCAAGACAGAGTACAGGAAAGAGCCATAAAATCCTGCTCCTTCAGGAACACAATGTTGTTTTGGGGACTAGACCTCCAAGATTTTGACAATTCATTACTTTCAAAGATACAAAATCACCCTTGCCAAGTTGAGCACTATAAAACACTATTAAATACTTCACCTCTAGTGATTATGAACAAATTGAACTATCTAATGTGAGTGAAATCTAATTATGAAAATGATAAACATGTAGAATTTATGACTCCTCCTACCCATAACTTTAAGGTAACCAGTTAAAGAACTTCCATGCATTCCTTTTCTGGTCAATTCACTTGGCTGGGAAGATGGCTAGAAATCAGAGACCAAAAGCATCTGCAGTGATTAGGTGTGACACAGTTCTTACTTATACCAGTGATACAATTTCAACTGATAAGACTTCAATGTTCCTTCCTTCCTACCTCCATGTGAAATAGATAGCATTCAGTAAGTCCCACAATGCTTCCCAATTTACTATAGTCAAAGGAAAGATGATCACCATGTAAGAGTTCTTCACGGGCTGGGAATGTGGCTTCGTGGTACAGTGCATGCCTAGCTTGCATAAAACTCTGGGTTCGATTCCCCAGTACCACATAAACAGAAAAAGCTGGAAGTCACTGTGGCTCAAGTGGTAGAGTATTAGCCTTGAGCAAAAGAAACTCAGAAACAGAGCCCAGGCCCTGAGGATTCAAGCCCCAGGTCTGACAAAAAGAAAAGCTTTTCACCTTTCTGGCTAAAAGTGGAAGTTCTAGAGCTACTTTGTCAATTTCTTCATTAAACGAGCTCTGCAGCCCTGGCCCATGGACAAGGCCTAGCAGGCCTGCTCCCGTCCTCCTTTCTCTGCTGTCAACAGGCTCCTTGGCACTTGAGGGCACTTGTTAAGCGGGAGGCTATTCAATGCACTCTTCAAAAACTAACTGTAATCAGGCGCCGCTGGCTCACACCTGTAATCCTAGCTACTCAGGAGGCTGAGATCTGAGGATCCAGGTTCAAAGCCAGCCGGGGCAGGAAAGCCCATGAGCCTCTTACCTCCAATAAACCACTCGAAACTGGAAGTGGTGCTATGGCTCAAACAGTAGAGCACTAGTCTTGAGCTGAAGAGCTGAGGGACAGCGCCCAGGCCCAGAGTTCAAGCCCCATGACCAACCAAAAAAAAAAAAAAAAAAAACTATCTTAGCATCCTCCTGTCTCTAAAATATTTATTTTTATTTTTTTGCTAGTCCTGGGGCTTGAACTCAGGGCCTGGGCACTGTCCCTGAGCTTCTTTTGCTCAAGGCTAGCATTCTACCACTGAGCCACATTCCCAGCTCCAAAATCTTTAATCTTAAGAGTCTGAAAACTCTAGCTGGGAATGTGGCTCAGTGGTAGAGTGCTTGCCTAGTATCTATGAGGCCCTGGGTTCTATTCCTCAGCACCACA